TGTAAAAATGCCAACTGAATCCATTTGGATCATGGATCGTGATCAAAGAACAGTAGTTTGGTTTTCTACAACCCTTGTGAAGATAACTGGAATGGACTTTCACACAGGTCACGACCAACGAAGAAATCAATATTTTTTTTTCGCCGTCACTCTAGGACAAAGTGACTAAATGTCGTGTTGCAAATAAATAGACTCATTTTGAAATTCGCAGGCATGGTTCTACGTATACTGTATCAAATTCGGTGCCGAAACAATAAAATTCTAGTTTTTGTAGCTGGGCAATACAATGTTGCAGCCCAACTTGTATACAATTACAGTATATAAAACTGTTTGCATTCACCAATTTGCGCAGATCGTTCAAAAGCAATGCCTTGAACATTTGTCCCATAATGTCCTTATTTTGCCACATGCCCGCAAAGCCCTCTCTGAAACACTTCGAAAATCAACAATACTCGAAGTCCCCGGCGTGTCGCAAACAACCACCTCAGTGATTTTCCGCAAAACCACCAAGAATCAGAATTAACTGTGGGTGTTGCCGGATCACACAGCCCACATGCTTCACAACAAGTGTGCCCAATGTATTGCTGGAAACCACAATGCGAGTTGGGCAGAACATCGGTCATGTTATGGGTATTGTCAAGTGTAAACCAATCACAACTGATCCATGGGCTATCTCACAACTGATCCATGGGCTATCAACAGCCTCTTGGCAGCAAAAATGCACGCATTGCCTGAAAAGAGGGGCACCTGAATATTCCACTGGAAAACCAATGGCCTATACTGATAGACGCAACTCCACCAGGTGCACTGCCATTCACCACCGCACTTTTTGCAACGCGTGTGATGGCTCCCGCCAATTTACCACTGAGTTCGGCTTGGCAATGGAGCTGCGCTGTATGCAACAAAGTTGTCACAGTGGATGCTTGTGGTGTCTCATGATCATATGTTGGGAAAGTGGGTGATTATGGTTTGCGTCATATCCCGGCATGGTGCTTGCAATGTCAGCCTGAGATTGTATAGCTATCATCCAGTTTCAGTTGATTGATTTGGGGGATGCTGTCTGTGAATTACCAGTGTTTTCATGAAAGCGTTTACTTGTCCAGGGTTGGCATTGATCTGTGTGCCTGTCCCGCTTTTCTAAGGGCTTGAAGATTCAAGTCGCAGCTGCGCAGCACTGAAGCCGCGCTCAAACTAATCTTCCTGGCGACGCGTGCGGAAACATGGGTTTCCCCAAAGATAGAAGGGGTCTTTCCCAATTTTTTTTGCCACTTTGAAATGCTTTAACGAAAACATGGCATTTGGGCGCCCTCTTTTCAATCAAAACCTGCATGCCGGCACGAAGCCACAAAGAGAGTGGAGCAAACCCAGGGGCTTAGCGGCTAACCCTTGGGCGCTGGCTGGCTGAACCCCGCTTCTCGAGGGATGGGGCGCATGCTTTCTGCCCTTGCCTTGGGGTGTTCCAGGAGGTTTTATCTTGGGCGCCCGCAAGACCAGGAATGTGAATTAGTTAGTTCGAGAGGTTCATGGGCTTGGCGATCCCTTTCGGACATGCATTCCATTGCGTTCCACTTTCTCCTGACTTTGCGGACACCGCTTGACATCTGCGTCGGGCTGCGTTATTTTTTTTGCCTTCAAGGCTGGTCTGTGGGGTGGGGTCTGGTCTGTGGGGTGGGGTCCTTCTATAAGGTCCAGGCCCAGAAACGCAAGTCACGATGTCTGCTGGTTAAATCTTCAACAAGCTACTTCATACATGTTCTCGAATCACTGACTTACAGTACACTGCACTCGTTGGGTTCAGTCAATTGTAAGATACTATTTGCATTTGTGGTGTTTCACCAACACGTGCTACTCAAATTGTCATTCAGTCAGCATTCAATCTTGGGGATGCCCCACCATGGACCCATCCCTATACCTGCACTCTGCTAAGGATAGGGAGCCCCGAAACCTATGGCGACCGAGGAATAGCTTTCAAACATGATGATTGTGCAATACGGGTGTGTCTGAGAATGGCGGATCTAATCCACACTTTATGGCATTTTTGAAGACTAAATGCCCAAAGATGAAACCTACTGTACCTACAGAGTGACAACAAAGTGCCCTTGAAAAGTAGTTCCTCAAAATGCTTCAGTGGGCTACTTATTCCCCCAAGTGTCTATTTAAATGGAACAACCATGATGAGATATATTTTGGGTATATGGGGATAGTGATGGAACCACATATCGCAATCTAAGTGGGGAAACTGATGACAATCAATTGGATTTATGCGATTTATCCATGTTGATCACCCAATTTATGGCAAATTTAAGACGGAAACTGATGACAAACATTGACAAACTATGGACTTTCGGAGTTGTCCCTTGAATTTTACGGCACCTCGCGTGGTTTTCGCGATGAGGTCAGATTTTTATGATCACCTCGTCACAGTTACTAGCACCATCAGGAGATCATGGGAATTCATGGGAATATCATGCGATAGATCACCAGAAAATGAGGATACAATGGACTAAAATGGGAATCTACACGATTTTACCTGTAATATCCTGTAATGGGTTGGAGCACCCCTGTGCAACCTTCGTTTGGAAGCTTCCAAACATCTTCAAAATCTAGATACATAGATGATCATAGATGCATTTTTTACGCATTCAGAAACACATGGCTTCCCAGTGATTTTCAAGGGAAACTTGGGTCAAAACTTCGCTTCCCTCGTCTCAAAGGATGACCATGACCAGAAACATGGACCAAATCCCTGGATTCGGGAGGGATTTTTGGTGATTTTTGTGGCCTCACTTTGCAGGGCAGTTCCCCTTTCTTCGTCAAGTTCAGAAAGGGTTCACAGCTCCACCAATTCTTTTTTGGTGGATGTCGATGTACGAGTTTTCATTTGTTTCCCCACTTGTTTCTTGGATATGTGATACATAACATGTATACATCCATATATGCGCTTATATTGTTTTTGGGCAATTTGAGACAACGAAAAGTGCACCCTTCGGGGGTAGCAAGACTCACCCAGGGCCCCAGTGTGTGGGCAGCTCCCCATGTTTGTTGGTATGTCCCAGTCTTATTGAACAGAGATAGGCTTTACCTTACCACTTTCTTTGGTTGATTCCCTATTTTTGCTGACTTAATTTATACATCCATTCTTAAACCCTTCATTTTGTTTGTTTAACTCCACAATGTAGGTGGAATCACAAGTTTGTCCCCATATTTGGTGGTTACCCTCCATGTAGATACGGAAGATCCACCATCAAAAAAGATCATTTTTGTAGGGTGGTCATCTTGATTTCCCACGGCGGAGAGCGGATAGCATGTGAATAGGCTTGTTAGGTCCAACTGCCCTAGGAAAACCCTGGATGTTCAATATTGGGGATGGGTGAAAACTTCCGAACACATTTCCAATATCCCAATAATATTTTTTCAATAATGGGGATGGATGATGCTGGATGTTCAAATTTCCATGTATTGGGGATGAATATCAAGCATCATCCAGCATCATTTTGCACCAGCTGATGTGAAACCCCGGAGTAGCCTTGAATCTACCGGTGGTTTCACGGGTTGAAAACATGTCATGTGTGAGTTCATAATCCTCAACAAGTTGTAAGTAAAATAAGTTGTAAGTAAAATAAGTTTCTGTTTTACAGATTGTCAATCATCATTTATCATCATTTATCAACTATATCACCAATATGTTTGGTTGCTAAAACTCAACAAACCGGTGCTCCACCAGTGACGTTTGTTGGTTTGTAAATAGCCAGTTAAAAAGTTCGATATATCCCCTACAAGCCCATCCATAGCCTAGTTATATATGTCTATCAACTTAACAAACTGGTGCACCACCTTACATGTTAACAGCTAAAAATCAATCAAATGATAGCCATCACATCATCAAAACAAGATGATCCTTATATCAACTAAAGCTCTTGATTAGCTTGACATTCCCATATTGTCGTTTCGTTTTGTCTTTTAAATCCACACTGGCTCAGCACTGCATCCGACCAAAACGTCCCCTGCCTGGCTCACCTGGCGCTCAAACCAAGGGGGATGGAACCTGGGGGGACCCTGGGGATCAAAATGGTTAATAATATGGTTATAATCTGGTTGATATATGGAATAATATGGTTAATAATCAATAGATATGGTGTATGATTATTAATATCTGGTTGGTGATTGACCTACCCCTCTGAAAAATGATGGAGTGAAAGTCAGTTGGGATGATGACATTCCCAATAGATGGAAAAATACAATTCATGTTCCAAACCACCAACCAGATATACTCTATTGTAATTTGGACTAAAATAAGATTTGAGAAAACCTAGATTATAGAGATAACATTGCTGACCCAGCTAGAATATGTGCGTGTGTTTTGAGAGTGGTTCAGATATGCATGTCACATCAAACAGAAGCACACAAGTGCAACATTGAGTAAAATAAGTCATAAAATATGCCCCAATCAAAGATGTAGTTATGTATATATATAACAACGATAACACATGACAACATAAGACCGTAGTTTAACGTATAGTATATGAACCCAATTTGTGCATTAAAGCAAGGTAGACTAGTTTACAATGAAAATAAAGCGGCTATTAAAATACTACATAACATATGTACTATATAAATACATTATGTGTTCTGAATGTAAAAGAACAAACTTATGCAATTATACAAGGCAGTTTCAAACACAATACTGAGAGCGATTTATGCAAATATCATACATTATCATGCCATGTATGAAATGGGCAAGCGGGTCTTTTCTTCGGCAGTGTGCAGAAGTCTCCGTTCGATCCAGCGCACACGATTCGCGGATTCACGGAGATCCGACTTATCACAGACCTGGTTTCGCATGCTGTTTTTTGGGTAGCTGAAACCTCCAAGTTGCCGGTTCAAACTGGTGGTTTTGCGGCTCCTTTCAAAGCCCAAAGCGATGGGATTTCAATCTTTGGTTTCTATTCAGAACATTTCAGAACTGAAGTCCCAAAGATATCGGATTCTCAGAGTTCCATGGGTCAAGTTTTTTGGTCTTCGCAAAACCAACGTCAGAACCCTATCGGTCAGCTACCCTTTTGCCGACTGTCAATGTCTCACCGTTGTGATGCATCAGCAGCTCGACCTCGTGACCAGCAAACTAGCACAGATGGATGAGGTACTCAGTATATATAAAGAGTTGTCTTGTTTCCATATCTAGAGGTTTCCTAACTCATGGGGGTACCCCCCAATCATCCATTATACAATAGGATTTTCCATGAAATAAACCATTCATTTTTTGGGGTACCCCCATGGCTTCGGAAACCCCCATGTCTGTCTTCAGAATTCTCCATGGATTTTTGAAAAACCTCCGATCTTCCTGAGTTCCCGATTAACAAATACATTGCAAACATGTAAACAAACATGTAGTAAAGACCAATAATATATAACCGAGTAATTAATGGTAACAAAACTGATATTTTTTGTACTGCATAACATCATAATTAATGTGTGTGTGTGTGTGAATTTTTTTTGGGGAAATCCGAAAATTCCATCCACTGGTTCGGTTCATGATCCAATCGCTGAGGTTCCAGCGACTTCTACTTGTTCAAGCTCTCCTTCAGCTCATTCAGCTTGTCTTCCAGCTCCCACACCTCGCTTTGTGGCAGACTACCATTCGATTCGGGCGCCCAATAAAATGCTGTGGAAAAATCTACCCTGAACGAAAATGCCATTTTCGTCAGGATGAGTTGAAACAAAGCCCAATAAAAGGGGCCCCCAATCTGATTGGGTTTTTGTTGCGGTTTACGATAGTTCTGTTGGATTTCTGGATATCACCCCGAAGAGGTGAAAAGATTCCAACCAACATAAATGCAAGGTTCCACTTTGTAGGAAAAACAATCCTTTGATATCTTTTGGTGGAGAATTTGAGACGACATCGACACAATTTTACCCAGAATGGTTGCAACAAGTGTAGCAAGAACAATTGGAACAATTTCGGCCAGGATGGGGCACAATCATGTTTGTGGAGTTCGAGGTAGTGCTATCAGAGAATGGTTTCAAGATGTTTCAAGTATAAATGGTTTGACATGGTTAGCCTCCAAGAATTCAACCGGGCTTGCTGGACAACATGCAGTATCAAGTGGCCCAAGCAAATTATGTTCATTAGGGCAACACCATCAAAATGATTGAGGGCAAAGGGGGTTGTCCGAAAAATCAGGTACCCCATTCACGTAGCCCATTCACAGGTTGATCAGATTCTTTCCGCTAAAAGATACATCTCGGGGCTACTAACCATTTTCAGATACACCCATGTGGTGTGTTGCCATCTGCAACCACATTTTCCATAGATATTGGCTCCTTTTTCCGAACTTGAACCCGTCTCGTTGCGTGTCGTGAAGTTACCACCCCAAACCAACCTGTGGAAGATCGGGCTCAAGTCATTGGCTGCCCCAAAGATTGGATGGTTTAACCATCAAAAATGGTGGCTTGATCTGGTCTAACATCCTGAAATGGGGATACAGGGATACATTATAGCCAATGCAATATAAAATACTTCCCCATGACTGGCCCCCAAGTCATGAATAGATCCAATACTGAACCAGTGGAGAGGTTAAGAAATGTTAAGAAACATACACAGTCGAATGACTGGTCTCGATGCGTATGTTTCCCGGGCACAATTTTTGACCCATAATGTCAACCCAGAATCAATAGACACCCGAGAGGGGTCCTAAAAACATAGTGATATTTCATAGTGATACCTGGACACTTTAGATGATAGATAGTTTTTACACCCCCCCATATGATATAGATAATCTGGTGGGTGGTTTCAATTCCGAAAGCCCCTTTAGACCTCCTCATCAGTCAGGGTCTGCTTCTTCTTGCCATCCTTCAGCTACTGAGTCGGCTGACCCATCCCCAAATCATTGAAACCATGAAGAAAATCACCACAACAAGTACGCAACTAGAATCCTGGAGTTGATGTAAAACTAAACATTGCTGGGGAGCCCGATTTTGGTTCCAGTTCAGCTTCTGGACTCAAAGTTTCTGGGGGGTTCAACCCTCCAAATAGGCTTGAAAATCGAGAAGATATTTGAAACGACTGAAAGCACCGGTTTTTGCTTTGGTTTGGAGAGGTTCCCACTGGGATTTGGAACACTCTTTTCCTCTGGAACGGCTTTTTTGCGCAATGGTTCAACACCGTATGAGTTGAGGTGATAAATTTAGCACAATACCTTGGGGAGTGTATGAAGGAAACTTTTTAGCCACGAAAATCCAAGACTTGGGCATGTTGATGTCCCCGGAATCCTGACTTTCTCAGTACCTCTTTGATAAAGCATTAGCTGCAGATATTCCGTTGACATGGGGGTGATGTTACATAATCCCATGTCTAGAGGTATACACAATTTCATAAACTTCTATATTGAAGTATAGTTTACTAATGTTTATTCCTGTTTGATACTGTTCATTATTATTCTATAGTAGTTTTTATAGTATTGATGTTTATGAAAACTTCTATTAACTTCTATTTTTACTTCCTCGGCATTAACAGCTACATTGGTTTACCACCTTCCAGGCTGTCCTTGATCTTCTTCTCGATGTCCTTGATGGCCTGATACGCTAAACATCGGCGCTAATCATCGCGAAACTGTGCCGCAGAGATGATGCGTTCAACGGCTTCAACGAAGAAAAACGATATCTGGTTTGTGGTTAATATATGGTTAATATATGGTTAATATATGTTAATATATGTTAATATATGGTTAATATATGGTTATTATATGGTTATTATATGGTTAATGATGGTTAATAATACGGTTATAATCTGGTTGATATATGGAATAATATGGTTCATAATCAGAAAAATGATGGACTTCGTCAGTTGGGATGATGACATTCCCAATATGATGGGAAAATGAAATGCATGTTCCAAACCACCAACCAGATATGATGGACATGATGGAAATTATGTGGAACTAGTATGGACTATATATGTCGAAATACATGTGGAATATACGAGTGACATGTCAAATGCTTTGAAGCTGTGGAAAATTGTGGTCATATGACGTTTATCAGCATATATCAGAATTCAAGTGAGCAAAAATACTTGCCAACAACCATGACACTTTAGAGATTTGCAGCAAATTGTAACTACCACAGCGAGGATTCCAAGCCACAATCCCTCAGAAGACAAACTGCTGGTGGTTGGGGGCTTCACCCAAAACATAGTGTTGGCTGCATCTCCCATTACATCCCCATTAAATATCCATAATTATCCCATTCGAATTCATATCCCATGAAAAACATCCTGTTAAGATCCTGTTGAATCATATCAAATCCCTATTGTGATGGGCCAGGACTGATGAAATCATCATCAACAAGGGTCTAGCCTAGGCATTGCTCACATGAAACCTAAATGGCTTTGTCCAAAGCTGGGAGATACGTGGCAAACTTATTCTCAACCTTGAGCGTTGGGATTTCTATTTCCAAACAAGCCCGTTCACCAATCTGAACCAAAGTCGGGCTTGTCCAAAAAGGGATGATATACGGTATACGGCATACCTCAACTTCCACAAGTTGAACAACATATTCCCGGTGAACAAATGCAGTTGCATGGCCAAGAAAAATCTCACTCGCAGGCACCTTCTTCTTGTCCTTCTCTGTCATGGTCACCTGAATGGAACTGTCAGGCGTGCACTGCTGCGAATTCATGCCCAAAGATCATCTGAGCAGAATCCCACTATAGCAGTTATAGTTCCAGTATGTTCCAGTGCTATATAATCCCACTATAATCCCACAATCTGGTTCAAAATCCCACTATCATTACTATAATCCTCATGAATCCCCTATATTGGGTGGTATAATCCCCGAACTAATCATCCAACAGGGGGCCCAAAGATCATGAAAGCTTTGGATTTCACACTGGGACGCACTGGGAGGGTGCCAAAAAGAGGGCAAAAACCCTGGTTTAACCAGCAAAAACCATGGTTTTCATCTGGAAATGACAGCCATTGTTTTGCAGTTTCATCAGAATTCGTCAAGGAAATGGGTGATTCGGGATTCACCATAGAAAATCTGCAGGAAATCACGGGATACCAACCCATTGGTGTCCAACGGATGTGGTGGTTTTGATCAGGAAATGATGAGTCTGCTGATTAAATTGTCAAAAATCGATTATAGAAACCACCATTTTTAAACCAAAATTTCAATCACTGTTTTGATGATATAGAATTTGATTGAAATTTAAAATATAACACCCCATATGTTGGCATAGTTTCGAAGAAAACAACACATCTCCGTTCAACCCTTTCTCATGCTGACATTGAAATCCCAATGCTTATTGTTGAAATCCTGAATCATTGTTCCTAAAAATCCATAGAAAAGTAAACTATGAACATAGTGATTCAGTACCTTTTCGATCGTTGTAGGTGTTAGAAATCCGCCCACACCGCTTTGGCGGTGAAGGCGTGCTTATTGGGGGGCAAACAGCTACACTAAATGCTCAATCACATTTGTTAATATAGCAGTCGCTATATCAGCTTTAGCTGGGGGGGGCAAAACCGGTTTCGCACCGAGACCAGAATTCGGTGGTGTTTTCGACATTTTTCGAGGATTTTTGTGTGTTTGAGCGCAAGAGGGTATTGAAATGGAATTTTGGGTCATTTTGGTAGCTTTCCGGCAATGGAAAAACGGCCAAAAATGAAAAAACATTGTACATAGCAAGATTTTGCAGGGTTTTTGGATGCCAGAGCATTGAAAACTCTGCAAAAACAAACGTTTTGGACTGACGTTATAGCAAAAAACGTGTAAATTACCGTATGCTTGACTGGAAGGCAATGTTTTGGAAGGATTTACTGCCTTTATGGCAAAAAACGTGTAAATTACCGTCTGTTTGACTGGAAACATTGGAAAAAACACTGTCAAAAACAATGTTTTGGAAGGATTTCTTATATATATGTTGGAGTTGGCTACCGGCATTGGAACATGGAAAAATTGAAGAAAACACTGTAAATAGCGGTATTTTCAACGGTTGGGGAGATAAGGGAATTGGATGCATTGTCGAACATGATGTTTTCGACCGGTTTTATGGCGACAAAAGTGTAAAGTACCGTGCTTTGAAGGAAACCATTGCAAAAACATGGAAACACATTCAAAGAACACGGGATTTGGGGGACTATCTAGGCGTCGTTGTCTAGCTATTTGAAATTCCGCAGCTTGGAGAGCCTCCAAGGGAGGGAAAAGTGAAAATTCCATAGCTTGGGAAGCCCCCACGGGGGGAAAAGCGAAAATTCCCTAGCTTGGGAAGCCCCCACGGGGGGGAAAAGCGAAAATTCCCTAGCTTGGGAAGCTTCCACGGGGGGAAAAGTGAAAGAAGCACCCATTGGAAGGATCCCAGGGGGGGGGGGAAACTTAGCCCCTCTCACGGACCGAAATAAACCTGCGGTGTGGGCGGCCACCCCACGCGAAGCGGGGTGAATAATTACACTCGACATCACGATTATTCATATTATTACTATCATCATGATATGGAGTATCATAACCACATTCATGCATAGATTGTACAATATTGTACACATTGTATAATGTTTGATATACAACAAAAACCATGACTGTTATCTACATCAAATATCTCAAAAAGTACTGAGACGGATCCTTCTCATTCTCAGAGCCATGTTCCAATTCGCTTCGGAGCTTCGACCGACAAGTGGCAGTGTGTCAAAACCTTGTACCCCTGTAGTTCACATCAAAATAGCTGGGATTTATGGATGTTCATCCCCCTAAAAATGGTATCAATAGGTATTGATCCATACCCAAGTCACGCTCTTCTTGACCTCGATCTTGTTCCCCGCACCATCGAAGACCTCATCAGGTCCGGCAGAGGCGCCAGCATCGTCCTGACGGCGCTTTTCACCCGGTGAACGGCGATGGTTTTTTGGTAAAGAACTACTATTTAAATGGCTATTTAACTGGTATTTAATGGGTATAACAATGGCTATTTAAATGGCTATTTAACTGGTATTTAATGGGTATAACAATGGCTATTTAAATGGCTATTCAACTGGCATTTAATGGGTGTAACAATGGCTATTTCAATGGCTATTAAACTGGTATTTAATGGGTGTAACAATGGCTATTTATATAATGGCTATTTATATAACTCCCACTATCTAGTTAAAAATTGTCAGAACTGAGATGTGAACATTTTCTCCTCTGGGCCTAAAAATATTCGCAGTTATCCTGCAGTTATCCTGGTCGAGGAACCACTGAAGTTTCAATATCATGTCATGGGGTTATGGGACCAACCCTGAATACAGAATGGTACAATTTGTTTCATGGGATATACAGCCAAGATTCACCAACAATACCGTATTTGGGTTTGCTCAAAAATGGGTAGAACACCGCAATTACCATAAACTTATGCGTTAGATTCATTGATCAACTATCAGTTGCAGGGGTACCTTTTTTTTGTTCAGACAACTCCTCATGGTTTTAGAACATGGTATCAATGGTATGATCATCAATCACACAATGAAATTACTTACCCTCTGGTTATGACTAACATAGCCATGGAAAATCCCTAAAATAAATGGAGGTTTTAATAGGTAAACCATCTATTTCTATGGGCCATTTTCCATGGCTATGTTAAATAACCAGAGGGTATATAAAATTGGTAAATAAATCCCTAAGGGGTAGATGACCATTCCCTACTATGGATACACAATGTAAAATCCATGCTTTGATCACGGCTCATTTATGAAATTCTGGCACCAACATGAACCAACGGCACTGACTTTAAAGCCAGGAGCAAGAGTAGAATCGTTTGGGCATCCTTCCACCATTTGAAACCCGCAATCACCAATCCACAGTGCTTTATGGATGACATCTCATCATGTCATCCCTTTTGCCAGTTCACCTCCCATGTGTTGATGATTAAAATCTGATGGTTCATGGGTTATCCTGGTTAATTATGTTATATATATATATATATTATAATTATATAATATATATATTATATATATATTATATAATATATATATATATTATATATATATTGAAAAATCTTGACACCGACATTTTCTTGCTTGATCAGCTGCTGGAATACACGTAGTTCCTGCTGATTCTTCTTGGCTATAGATGTGGAGCACCCACTATGTGTAGATGATTTTCCTAGGGACACCATTGATTTTCCACATCTATCTTAGTTTGCCCCAGGGTAACGTAAATTCCTTTAAGCAGAGCTTAGTTAAATCTGAATCCAACAAGTTGTTGGCTAACGCCATTCCCCCACTCCCGCATAGGTTTCCCGTATCGAAACTATCTAATTTAATGGTGGATTTTCCATATCCGTTTTCTGAATTTACTTTCATGGAAGTTTTCATCTACAAAATGCTACAAATATGGCGGGTGTTCCATATATATTTTTCCAACCCCCCAAAAAAATGCTGGATAAAGCTGGCCATGCTATCCCCACTCATATCCCATATCCCATTTTCTGATGGCAAATCGCACCAATCCTGGGTTTCATGGTGGATTTTGAAGATCAATCCCATTCATTCGCTCCTTATCCCAATGAAATCCCCATTGATTTCATCTATCTTCGTTGGTGTTTCACACCTCCGGTGTCATCAAAGCTGGTTTATTTCCCCCCAAAAAATAAAGGATTGTCCCATATTTTCCATATTTTATGGATTTTCCTCCAAAATAGCTGGATAATCCCTTTTTAATAGGACCATCCTCCATATTTATGGCAGATAGACACCATGGCCACGTTGGATTTGTCCAAGCCTTGGAGGTGTCCACCGATTCACCTTCGATGCGCAACATGCCGCCCTTCATGATCCACTTCTCGGTGGCCACGTTGTCGCAGAACTCCTGGGAGATTTCGCCAAAAATCTTCACCAAAATGCGGCTTGGAAGATGACACACACCTCCTATATATAATATATACATATTATTATTATATATTTTACATATTAAATACTGTATATATATATATATACACATTATATTACATATATATACACATTATACTACATATATATATATATTATAGTATATATTGTATATAATATTATATATATACTATTATTAAGAATTATTATTATATTGTACTATATATATAATATTACATACATATTATATTATTATATATCATATATTATATATTATATCTTATATATTATATATTATATCTTATATATATTATATTATATACTTTGTATATTATATATTACTTACTATATTTATGATATTGTATTGTATATATATATATATTTGTTTCCACCATTTTAGTTGGGGATTCTCAGAGTCGAACTGTTGGAGAAACCCTGGATACTCTGCAAGAAACATGTGATGTATTATGATATTGTATGATGTAGTAAGCAGCCTAGAAACATGTCAGCGACATCATATAGCGAACTAGTATAGTTAACTGGGTTTCAAGACCAACGCACATAAGCGGGGAACACCACCTGGTGCCATCATGTCTGGCAAGTTGGGCTCAGTCGACTGAGTGTTGCTGTGACATTACACTGAAGTGTATCTGTAGAGTAGGACATGTAATGAGATACGGGCTGTTCCGAAATTGGGGGATACCCCAAAAGGGTCATTACACACTAGATTTTCTCAACTAGGATATGCTCTGGCACCTCTGGTACCCTCTGGTAAACTAACATAAGTATGGAAAATCACCATTTTTAATGGGTAAATCCACTATAAATCACCATGTTCAATAGCTATGTTAGTTTACCAGAGGAATCAAACAGCTTGCTATGGAAAAAATCACATTTACAGATTATTTTGCCAGCTATAAAGCTCCATCTATAGGGGCTTTCCCAGCTGGCCACCTCACCACAAGGCACAGAAAAGTCCAAAAACCCCCGAAAATCCTCAGTTTTTGCTACTTGGTTGATAGGTTTCCCCACTCTGGGTTATAAGAATCCCCCATAAATTTGGTAGTATCAGTCACTATTTCATAACCAATCCACCAAGCTTTTCTCTTTTTTCAATTGTATATTTGGTGTAGATCAATACCCAATAATATTTCAAAATCTGAAGGTGGACGGCCAAACACGTCAACCATTATATGGATCCAGATCAAAGAGATGTGAACAAATCAAAAGGTAGCAGAATTTGACCCATTCCAGGCTCAAATGGCTTTGGAAAACCATTTGAACTCTTGGGTGTGCCCTGAGCTTTGGCCTGCTTCAAAACTGGCATGTTTTTGCAGAGAAAATGACAAACCACAACACTTTGATATAGCGCAGTAAAATATAATAAATACATATATATATATAGTATAAACAATTTTATATAATATAATATATAATATAATATATTATATAATATATAATATAATATATAATATAATATATAATATAATATATAATATAATATATAATATATAATATAATATAATATATATATATAATTATAATATATATATAATATAATATAATATATTATATTATATTATATTATATATATAATTAGTTAATATATATATATTATTATATGATATGATATTATATTATAATATATTATATTATATTATATTATATTATAATATATTATATTATATTATATCATATCATATTATATTATATTATATTATATTATATTATATATTATTATATTATATTATATTATATTATACATGTGTATCACCACACACTATATAGAATTACTTCATAGCACCTTTTTTCATTCGGTCCAAGCCAAGGCAGTCCTTGTTGTGGGAGATGATCAGCACACCGCCCTTGTAGTCCTTGATGGCCAGGATCAACGCTCCCAAACCTTCGCGGTCCAAGTAGTTCGTTGGCTCATCCAGAATCAGCACCTACGGCGCGGGTATGGCCTGGTGGCTGGTGAAACATGGGATAGGCAGGATTTCTGATGAGTTAACAGACAAACATGGGATAGGTTGTGCAAAACATGGGGAAGTGCCATGGTGAAGCTACGTGGGTCAGGTATGACAAAACTTGAAGAAATGAAGGGGGTTCAAAGAATATCACACCAGCATGAACGGGATTCCAAAGCCAACTGGTTGGCGAATTCTCAGTAAATCTCATGGTCAAAATAAAAGTGCAGTGCATATCCGCTCCGGTAAGCTATAGTTTGCCCATCAAGAACAGGGGATTCCCCAATAACCTACCTTGGACAACCAGTGGGTGACCCCATAGACCAAACCACCAGTGGTCAACTGGGCAGCTAATTCTTGTGATAAATCTTCCATTTCTCTTGTAGCTCCCCATTATGGACCCCTGTTGGTTAAGCTACCATCTTAATTTGGTTTAAAAAAGCCACTATTACTATATAGTTAGTTGAGATACCATCTTAATTTTCATTAAACAAACACTATCACTAGTAACTGATCACTATTTACTAGTTGGTTGAAAACAGTTTCCCTACTATGGCTATTGTTAAATTGGCTGACTTCGATTTGAAAACTCGGCCCAGCAACGTGCGGATTCTGCCACATCGCGGCGGCCAGGACCACCTTCACCTTCCATGCCCCAGGTCGTTCACTAAGTTTATGGTTTATGTTTATATATTAGTATCAAGATGTATCAAGATGGGGCCTATGATGATAGTATGTATAGTATGTGATAATTAATATATAGAGTTAGATTTGGTTATAACTTTAAACTAAGATTTATGATTTATGGTGGAATTATGGTAGATATATCTATAATCAATGGACGTGAATGGGAATTATGCACCAATTTTTGAGTGGGCGGACACCACCGTGTATGGATATATCAGGGATATTAATGGAGATATAGTGATCGGTACAACCATCTGTGCCCCCAGCCCGTGATGTTTGTTGGCTTACCCCCGATGCCGAGCTGTGGGGCATCAAAAACAAATACTTGATGATCCTAAGTCCCCAGAATTTCTCCCAGCAACGCGTGGAAACACCCCACTCAGGGACCAATGAATGATTCTAAATATCTGCAAGAAACGTATGATATAGATTGACATAGTGTCAAATCCTTCCACAACTTATCCTTATCGAAGATTTAACAGGGATTCCAACTACCCATGGTAACAGACTCTCTAGTAGGTACACACTTAAATAAATCCCAGTGAACCAGTGAACAAATCACTGGGTGGTTTGGCAGCTTCCTAAAAAATGAACACTTACCCAACAACTGACAACGATCCAGCAAACACAAATGGTGTATCAGCACCGAAGGCGGTGACTGTGACTAACAATATTGGCTAATACTAATATTGGAATACAACTAACACATTGTGGGTATGTAGCCAATATCAGAGTCTCATTTCAACTAATTATGATCGCAGAAAACTACGCCAGTGCGGGGTCTGTTTCGACGGCAGATCATGACATTACCGGGGTCAAGTGCAAGAAGCAATCGTTTAGGGCAGCTGGACCTCTGCGGGTACCCTGGTTTTCACACCAAATTAGGTGTTGTCATCCCCCTAAATCACAAGAAACTATAGCTTTCGATCCATCAACACCTGCATAACTTCGTCCTCATGGTTGCTACTCGAACCCATCGTATGGTCTGCTTAACTTGTTAACCACATGTTTTGCTGGTTAAACCGTAATTTCTGTTGGGTAAAACCTCCCATTGTTCTTGCTTGAACATGATTCAACATGATTAAACCACATCAAACAATGTATTTGCGGCCAAAAAATCATTCCAAACCCATCACATCATTCCAAAAAATTCCAAACCATAGATGCCATAGCATTTTTCGGCCTCAAAAATCCATCACCATCACCTCCGAGCCTTCATCCCACCAGACAGCTGGTTGATCTGCGTGTGTGAGGCGCTCTCGGCATCCACGCCGAAGTCCGCCAGGTGCTTTTCCTGACGGACATGGAACCGTTTTGAGGACGACAGTTTTGACGAGTTTTGATGAGTTTGATATTCATGAGGTTCTGAAAAAGGGTGAGCTAGTATGAACACTTATTGTGGGCTCGGTTCTTTTTGCAGGCGATAGTGGCCTTTCCTTGTGGACTATTTTATTACTTTTTTGAGTTGTTGTGGGTCAGTCTATGAATTGGTATGGTTGATAATTGGCGATAAAATGGTGATGAAACAGGAAACAATGAATTTGATTAGTTCAGTTGCTCGTAATCCAACAAAACATAGGTTTTGTAAACTCATGGAAGACTCCTTGCGCGAAGGAGGCACCGCAAAAAACACCATACGATGACCCGAAGTGGAACAACCCTGTGAAGTATCATCCCGACTAACAGCTCCATCCTGATCAGCCATTTGTACTGGCAGGTTGGACAAGGCCAGTACTCTACAGTTCTTAACCACGGGATGCTCGACTCAAATTTTTCATTTGGTCTCCCGGTCTCCCCGTAAATCTGGAAAGCTCCACGAGCTCAGGATTGTTGAAGGCTACTGCGTTCTTGGTTGGTATCAACAGCATATCGTTGTTGGATTCTTGGCTTCAAAACCCACGTTTGCATCCTTGAAGACAGCTCTCTTCCAGTTACACACTGTTTTTCCTCAGTCAAACTCCAGTGTTTGTTGGTTAAAGCCTATGGCTTGCAACTTGTAGGTGGATACAGGTAAACATGATGAACCCTCATCATTTTCCTGGTTGAACCATTCTTGTTTATCGATTAAACACATCAATTTTCCCCATTTTTATGGATATTAGTCATAATTATTCACTATCCTGAAATGTTCGACCCAGTTGGGATAAGTTACCCTCTGGTAATTTAACAGTTTGCTATTGAACATGACCATAGAAATAGTTGATTTACCCAGCTATAAAATGGTGATTTTCCATCGGTTTTTTTTAATGCTTTTTGTATGTTTACCAGAGGGTACCCCCAAAAACACCAAGCAACATCTTTCCCCCAATGGAGGTTTCCTAAGTCATTGGGGGTACCCCTAGTTATCATCCATTTATAGATGGATTGTCCATGACATACACCAACCATAAATTGGGGTATCCCATTCATGGACACCCCCATTTCCCCAAATATCCCTCTAATGGATGGTTATCCCATTTATGGACACCCCTAAATTTTCTTGGCTTCCAATCGCCAAGTGTCGACTCCAGGCTGGGTCAGCTGTTTGGTCATCAGGCCGGCCATGGCGGCCTGACATGGGAACAACCGAAATGGTTAAGACAAAAAAAATACAGGAGACCTTGGTAATATATGGAAATATATGGTAATATATAATATGATGCAATATGATGTAATATCATGTAATATGATGTAATATGATGTAATATGATGTAATATGATGTACTATGATGTAATATGATGTAACATGATGTAATATGATGTAATATGATGTAATATGATCTAATGTGATGTAATATGATGTAATGTGATGTAACATGATGTAATATGTAAATCATGAACATCATTCAGAAATAAAACAATCAGTAATATAACATAGTATAACTATGAATTAGAAAACATTGTGTAAATGACATCAATGAACGCATGAGAACAGAAGAACTCATAGGTCAGTTGGCCGAGTACTAAACCAGCCATTCAGGTGATATTCAAACAGTTATATACCAACATGTTACAAATGTATACAAATGTAGTGTAGGTGAATGCATTTAACATATATCTAACATCAGTTAATGTTAAAACGGCCACTAGCTGAATCAGAATATTGCACTCACCTAAAACATATCTTGGATGGTGAGGCCTGAAAGATGTACGCAATTCATATGACATACCCTGGTAATTTGTCATAGCCGAACAATTCCCCATTTAGTTCGATGAACTACCTCAAATATTGCGTTTTTTTTCCAAAGCAAACTGAACAGATGGTAGATCCAAAACCATCAACCACATCACATATTGGTGCTTATTTGTTTGGTCATTATATCCCCATTATAATCCCATTCACATTCCAAACAGCCATCCATCACCATCAGCCTGACGCTCGTCTTCTCGCTGAACCAACTTGAGGTAACCCATCTTCACCAAGGTGTCCTAAGGCGCTGTCTCGCTCAAGACGGTCAGCCAAGTACAAGGCGGGCTGGTACCTGTTGTGCCATGCTCTCTGAAACTGCCATGAATTTCTTGGCAAATTTAGTCCCATGGGTGTGTCTGAAAATAGGGTGCGGAAAGCAGGGCAGGGTCAATAAACTGTTGTATTATGTTATATTTATATATGTATCAAACATTCTACCATAATGTAACAGTTTATAACCCATTGACAATTCATATATATATATATATATACCAGTTACATAACAATTTGGATTATATACAACCTATTCTTAAGAACAACACACAGATTTTTTCATGGCTGGTGGCTGAACCACGCTGAAAAGATCATCCTCCCATTTTGTGTTTTTTCATACAGAATGCAATGACCTACCAAGTAAATACTGTAGTGATATATATATATATGATGTATGTATATATATATATCACTATTGGAAAACACTATGTGATGTTTTGAACCCTCCATCATATTTTGGTTCAATATCCAGTGGATTCAATCGCGTTTTCCAGTAATCGTCTAGTTGGAACCAAGATCCAATAGTTCTTGAAATTCTGGATCCACTAGTGGCCACTAGTGGTTCAACTGGTTCAACCATCCGTAGTATCTCGTTAATATCATCCTCATCCTCCCATATATTGAAACCACCAAGCAGAGTCTGGGCCCCAGCTGAGCTCCTTCTCCACCCAGGTGTTTTGGTCCATGCTCTTGAACTGCCACTTCACCTGACGGTCCAAGGAGGCACGATGGCATCACTGAGGGCCCGTGTTTGTGGCTTCCACGGGGGGATTTAGGATGGAATGGGGTCGCCCATCTACTGGTTGAACCATTGTAGAAGGTCTGGATGGTTCGATGTTATGAGGTATTGAAGCATAATCAGTGTATCATTTTGCAAACTTGGTGAAGGGATGAGGGATGGGAGTGCCAGCACATAACTAGGCCAAACAGGGTTTATGGGGGATATCTCTATCATAGTTAAGAGCGCAATAGACAAGGTTGTAATAAGTGGGGGGGCCACCGCCTTGTATTGATGATGTTGATCACACCAAACGCACATAGATGAAATTAAGCATGAACCACCAAACAACATCCTAACATCTGGATGGCCTTGAACTCGCATTACAGTAGTGGACATACCTGGGTTCCATCTTGAACCTTCTTGTAGATGCCATGTGGCTTTAATGATCGGAATTGCTTTGCTGGAATCTAGCAGCAACTTGCCAATTCACTCAGTGATATCCGATCTCAGCCGATCGCACAAAGATGCATCGAAAAATAAGAAGCCAACATGTTGAGCGTCCTTTTCAGTCATTCTTTGAAACCCAATGTCGGCCGAAATCAGTATTATGCCTTGCCCCTCTAGCATTGGTTGGTGCTTTGACCACCCTTGGAACCTTCTGCTTGGTGACCCACACCCTCTGATCATCAAGCCTTAATTGCTGGAAAATATCGTCATCGTTGATATTAAGCCTGCTCTGTTTTGAGTTGCTGAAATTCTCAAAACTCAAGATGGGTCTCTCTCAAACTAGGAAAAACTAGGGTATCCCTAGAATCCAGCCAGCTTTATTTTCGGATATTCCTTACTGAAATGGGCATGTATTAGCCCTGGGGCCTTGCTCCAGCCAAGTCCCTCCACACAAGCTGGAGCCCCAGCTATGCTTGTTGGCTCATCAACCGTTTTTTTCACCTATACTTCACGAATCTCAATTATCTATTCTACATAAACCCAAGTTGGCCTACTTATGTGGCTACCAAGTTTTCCTTTACCAAGTTTTCCTAACAAACTGGGGCACCACCATTTCTACATATTTCTGCTATATATATAAATATCTTTATATATATATATTTTTAAATCCTCATTTTCATTGGTTGAATCCTGTTTTTTATTGGTTGAACGCCGTTGACATGACCATTTTTGATCAAAGCTCCGCTTTCCCGCCGCAGCGCCGCAGCGCGCCGGCCTCGTATTCGAAGGTCTTCTCCTTCTTCTTCTGACGTCGGTTCACGATGGCATCGGGAACCACCGCGCCGGCCTCGTCCTGCTTGGCCTTGGCGTTGATCCGTTGATTTTCGTAGGAAAGGTGAAGTTTTATTGGTACAAGTAGGATATGTTCATGGAGGTTTCCTAAGTCATGAGGGTACCCAAAATTTTTTAAATAATCGATTGCCATAGGATTTTCCATGATTTTCCATTCTAAACCATACATAGTTTGGGGGTCCCCATGGGTCCCCCATGGGTCCGGAGACCGCAAAATGTGGTCGTCAGCCATCCAAGAATTCCCATCTACTTGAAGCTGATATCTTTAGTGGTTAAAACCTATATTTGGTAGTTACATGTGGTCAGGTTCCTCTATAACTCCCAACATCTTGGACATAGCCCCATTATATACAACAAAGCACAGTTTGGTGATGACAGTGTGATACCCCCAGTCTTGCTACAGTCATAGACTCATGACTGATGGGTCATATTCCCAGCACATGGTTGGTGAAATCCCACTCTCTCACCTTGAAGCCCCTTTTTGTGCGTGTTGTGTGGTGATCGTAACTGAAGTATCTTCCAAATTATTCCAATATATATTAATATACAATGTAATATATAATATAATATGATATGATATAATATAATAAAATATAATACTTAAAATAATACTTAAAATCATCTAAAATAATATCATATAATATAATATTTAAAATAATATAATATAATATAATATAGTATAATATAATATAATATGATATAATTATAATATAATATAATATAACACAATATAATATAATATAATAAACTATAATATAATATAATATAAAATAATATAATATAATAAAATATAATATAATATAATATAACACAATACAATATAATATAATATAATATCATAAAATATAATCTAATATAACACAACATAAAATAGTATAATATAATTTAATATAATATAATACAATATCTAATTTAATATAATATAATAAAATATAATTTAATATAATTTAATATAATATAAAAATATTAAACAAAATAATATAATATTTAATTATATGTATTCGTCCGATATTTTTGGGTTGAAACCCACTCACACACTAACCACAAATCACCAATTCTACCAACATCTAAGCGTCAATCGTTAAATGGATATGCTTCAAAATTCATGAAATCATATGAAATCCAATTTGTTCACCCATTTTAGGGATAGTGAAATAACGACGGTATCATGTGCTTGGAACACTGAATTCGTACCTCCTTGGCTCCCCATTGCGAATATGGATGGCGCTCCGAACCGCTCCCAACTACTGGATAGCTACAGTTGACGGTATTTGTTATTGGTTACATATCCCATTGTATCTCCATTAATCTCCCAGAAAGAGCTCATTTAGAGATGAGCGTGTAAATTAAAGCCTTTGCTTAGTTCGGGGAAAGGGTACCCCTTTAGGTGGATTGCCACCCGCAAATAATGTGCACGTGCACCCCCAATTAAAAAACACCCTCAGCCCAATTCAATTGAAATATATACTTATATACTTGTCCTATAGATTTTATAGATTTAAAAGCAAAATCAATTGACAGTAAATTGATGTCAATTGAAATCCTTACTTATCATCTAGATTTACAAGGAAAATCAATTGCAATTGAAATCCTTACTTATCCTTTAGATTTAAAAGGAACATCAATTGAAAATAAATTGATTTCAATTGAAATCCTTACTTAATACTTATCCCCTTGGCAGGCAGGTTGGTTGTTTTTCATGCATGACACGCCCTAGATTTTAATTGGGGGGGCTCTTACCTTCTAAGGGGGTTATTAATACGAACTTGGCACTACATCCCACTATATTCCCATTGTTACTTACCAATAGAATATTCCGCAAGAAATGAATATTCTATATTCGTTATATTCCCATGATATTCCAATTGTACACTATTAGGAGATATGGCTGTGAGCCAAAACCCTGGCACCTAGGTACCTTAAAATAGCTGATTAATGGATGGTTATTTCCTCAAATATTGGTAAGAATAGCTTTTGGCCCATACCCATATGGAGGTTTCCATAAATGCTGGTACCCCCAAATCATACATTTATGGATTTTCCCTTATAAATCCTTATAAACCATCCAGCTATTGAGTCCCCATTTATGGAAACCCCCATATCCCCAAATATCCCTCTAATGGATGGTTATTCCCTCGAATGGATGGTTTCAACCCCCCTGAAAAATATGAAAGTCAGATTGGATCATCATCCCAACTATTGCGGAAAATAAAATTCATGTTCCAAACCACCAACCAGATGGTGTCACCCCTAATTAAATCATTCAGCTATTGGGGGCACCCCCATACCGGCACCTTCTTGGCGTCCTCCTTGGGATCGGTGCAGCGGCGCACGTTGCCCGTCACGCTGTCGATGCACCACTTGGCAGACCGCGCCTTTTCCTACAAAAAGCGGAGACCTTCACCGGAAAGCGAGGATGTTCACCAGCAAAAATGATGAAACATGGTGATTTTACCAGCCAAAATGGTGATTTTACCAGCAAAAAGTGTGATTTCACCATAACCTGATTTTCCGAGAAAACACGTGGTGATTGTATCGAGAAGAATTGTGATTTTACAAAGAACAAAGGGTGATTTTACTGAAAGTCGTATTTTCATCAATGTTCAGCCAGATTGTGATTTTACAATACATAAATCATGGGTAATCAAACGAGAACATAGATGCTTTAGTTTATGTGTGTTGCCATCTATGATTTGCCATCTGGGATTTCTGGGATTCCCCAGCAAAATGATCCACCGGTGAGATGTCAGAATCTATGCGTATGGAGGAGAATCCTTTCTTACTAAGGTTGCGGTGATCTACGGGTTTTCTCTTCCAGAGGTAATTTTTACCTTTTCTTTTCTTAGACATCGAGGCAACAAAAAATCATGAACTTTCATCTTCAAGCAACATGCTCCTTGGATCTATTGGGTCTATTACAGGGAACCATTGCAGGAAAACAATAGTTGTGCCATGTTTAAGCTTTCACATACGGGGCTTCCTGCATGATACTTTCCATGATATTTTCTGGGAAACACACGAGCCACTGCTGAGAAATCTTTTTGATACCAGACCTGACCCATCTCGTCCGTGGTGCTGATATCAAAAAAGATCACCATGGATGCTCCAAATCATTACTTCCAACAGACCTTTTAATGCAAGTAATTAGTTAATTATAAATCTATAAACAACAAATGGCTACGACTAAGGTCTCTGACTGTGATAGCTATAAATGGACATGCAACTCCTATAACGAAGGTGAACTATATGACTATAAAACCATTTAAAACTGTTAAGCTCCATTTCTCTATTGGCGTGCTCCTCATCCACGGAGAGCTCATCGGTCTTGAACTCCAGTGACTCGCGGTCGTCGTTGCCCGCGAAGCGCCACATGATGTAGGCTGTGGGCGTCTCCTGGGATGACAACTCAGCCGTATCTTGGGTAACACATGGGATGTAATGGGCATATGAAAGGAATCTCATGAAATATACTGTGGATATAATGGTGATTTAATGATTAATGAGAATGAAACTTTATTGTGTTATTGGAGGAAACAAGGCGTGATACAATGAACAATTGGTGCCATTGTTGCTGCTAGATGTCGGTTTGGAGAAGTGGCAGAATCTATGTCACATTTGAGCCATGAAACATGGCTGGCTTCTTGGCAGCACTTTTTCGGGATCTTACCAACGGAAACAGTGATGTCACCAACGTGGGGATTTAGGTAGATAGGTTTCTGCTAGTACGAGTAGGCTACCTGTTGGATTTGTTGGGGATGTATCCAGATGAGGCAACATGAATTAACTTACAGAAATGAAAAAGGCCCTTTTCCTTCCTGTATCCCACGAAAATCTGGTGGGCTAATAGGTATCACTCGTGTGTCTTAAATGAACACCACCTCGATATCCTGAATAAATATGGAAAAACAGATACTGTCCACGTAATACCAATCAACTAATCACGTCTTATCCAGGATTTCCCAAAAAATTGAGGGCTAACCCCTCAAATGGAGGTTTCCTAAGTCATGCCGGTAGTCCCAAACCGTCCAAGTCGTTAGACCATTTTACCTACATAACTGGGTGATTTTTTGGGCAAATGCTGGTACATATTCCATACATGGAGCATATGGTAAATTTTAGGGACCATCCAATGTAAGAAGTGAAAATCCAGGCTGACATCCTGCATGTGCTTCTCCAAGTGATGGAAGGCGTGCTGAGCCACATAGGCTAAGCGCAGTCCTTGGGCCTGGCTGTTGGGGGAATGGTCCAGTTGCCAGTTGTAAGTTGTAAGTGGGAACCAAATATGTGAAAGCAAGCATCAGATACCAAGTTATCCAAGTTCCTAAATTGGACCATTCAGGTAACATTTTTTTGGTTCCTGAATGTTCCTGACACATATGAGGTCTATGTTTGAAGCCTATGTTGGGAATATACACCAAAGAACTATGGCCGCATGCTGCACAGCACCTCCATTTTAGATGCCTAAATGATCTTGGGCGGGCCATTGATTGGCTGATATTCGCTGTGTCCCTATTTCTGCTGGTTATGTTTATATAAATTTATCACATCCACATGTTGATTGGTACAGAACCGCCCTTTTAGATTTGTGTCCCATGCCTGTAGTCAGTAATGCCAACACCGGATTAATAACCCCCCCCACCAGGTAGGTAGGTAGGTAGGTAGGTACCTTCTGGCTAGTTTTCTTGACCACCCCTAAATAAACGCACCCTGAACCATAAAATGCTGAAGCATAAAACTTTGGATATGGCTTACGTCAATTAGATCTTAATAGAATTCCATTGGATTTGTTTAAATCTCATGGATCAGAAAGGGGGGTTGATTAATCAGGGGCAAACCGTGGTTATTATTAATGGGGGACATGGGCTCATGGGGGGTACCCTTTGGGAGCTATCCAAACTGATGATTTTCATAAAGATTTTAATTAGAAATCGATCATTTGGGGAATAGTTGTTTTTTGAAATTTTCAATGATCAACTTAAACCTTAAGTATAACACTGATGATGAAAAAAGTAAAAAAAATGGAATAAAAGGAATTGGAAATAAAAATTGTTGGATAAAAACATTAATTTCAGCACTGGTGGTTGATTGATCGGGGGTAGGCCAACCGATTTATTAATCAGGGGGGACCACCTGTTTTTAAATTACCATTTCTTTTTGGGCAGTGGTGGTTGATTAATTGGCGGGGGATTATTAATCCTCACTTGACATTAGTAGGGATCCCTACTCGAATGACTCTTACCGTAAAAATAAAAGTTCATTGAAAGCAAACCCAAATGCATGACCCCATATTAGGATCCCATCGAAATAACAATTTTGGGGCATACCGGTATACAACATTTCTGGACACAGCCATATCAGCATCCCCACCTTCCAGATGGTGCCCTCAGTGGGCAGCTGTTCACCCACCAACACCTGGACGAAGCATTTCGAGGCCAGGTAACCAGCCAGGTAATCCCCCTTGGATGTGCATCCCACTTGGGATCCGTGGTTTATCCACATAGAAGCCCTATAATCCCATATAATCCAGTGGGGATATGCCATATTTCACTGGAGTTGTTCACCCCCAAGTAGATCCATCAGCGGACGAGATCACAAATAGATATCACCAAAAAAACTAGAACTATAGTGTGACAACCATATAGTTATCACTATAGATAGTTTTCACAACCATTAACCGGAAATAACATGATGGTACATGAAATATGAACTACCATATCATGTAACTATCATGTGTAAGTATCATGTAATAATGAAACCAAAACAATGAACTATTCTGGTTGGTGGTTTCAACCCTTCTGAAAAATATTAGTCAATGGGAAAAATTACAGTATCCCATATATTATGGCAAATAAAAATGTTCGAAACCACCAACCAGATTACCATTGTAGCTATCACCCTATAGCTATCCCCCCCGGCCCAGCCGCCTTGATGGCCGTCGACTTGCCGGCACCGTTGGCGCCGATCACCGCCACGCGAGAGACCTGCGAGACCGTCAAGCTGACGTCCATGATGGTGGGCTTGTCCTGCTGCGAAATGCTGGGTTTCACCATCCAAAATGGCGACTTCAGGATGGTTAATTCATTATTTCATGGGATACTTAATGGTGTTTAATGGTGAGTAATGGTGTTTAAATGTCTTTAATAGGGACTCAATGGTGATTGATGGTGATATATGGTGATGATTAATTTAACGTGGGAAACCTAGAAATAAACACACCATCTGGGGATGGTTTATACAACCCATAAAAAATGATGATTTTGGGGATGGTTTAGGGTTTAGGGTTTACCATATTCGAATTACCTGTTAACTGGGAAGATTGAGATGAACTTGGGGAAAATTGATGGAAACATCAGCTACATGTACTACATGGCATGGGCCGCAGGAAAATCCCACATATAAATATGGTCATCTTATGTAACGAGGATTGTTTCGACAAAGATATGTATATATCAATATATTATGTATTTCATTTACTATATATAGTTTGTGATGTCTTTCCGAACGTCACATACAGCTGGTGTCTCTGCCGCTGACTGCCCGGTTTTGGTTTTGTGGACGCCCCGTGTCCTTCGTGGGGTAGGTGAAGCTCACGTTATTCATGCGCAGGATGACCTGCCATGGTGGACAAGCGCTTTTGAATGATGTGCTCAATATCACCGGTATTTCTTCAATTCTTATCCATATAGTCCATGATTTTCAGTGGTTATCAGATCTACCAATTTATTGATGGCAATTTGTTTCTTATGGCTATTTGATATTGTTCTTAAACGGTTGTGGTGTCAAGTTGACACCGTACTTCAAGCTGGTGCCCCAGGGATATCTGCCAACTGGGATGGACATCCAAGAGTAGACCCAAAAGCAATCAAATTTTGGAAAATAATGTCAACCCCAGATTAATAAGCCATTAGGGGGGTATCCAATAGTCATAATCTGATACTTAAATGGTACCCTCCCAATTAAACAGCCTAGGCAGCCTAGGGTTTTTTTAATCCAGGGTTGACATTATAATGGAATATAATAGGGTTAGGGGAATATATAAAGGGAATATAACCAACAAAGAATCGACTTGATGTACCTAACTATTTTCAGACAAACCCATGTCCAAAAAACTGAAGAAATAACAATTGTTGGATGTTTGGGTGCTTAGTCCATATAAATGTGGTAAAATCTCCATGGTTGGCGCCGCGCCTTGCTGCGACTCTTAACGCCTTCCAACGGACCTGGTTCCGGGAAGACGAACTTCATGGTCTCGTTGCCTGAGAGGTGCGGTTTTCTGCTGGGAAAATCTGCTGGGAAAATCATAGGGAAAATGTGGGACATCCACTGTAGATGGAGGGTACCCAATAGCTGGATGGTTTATAATGGAAAATCATGAAAAATCCATCTATAAATGGATGATTTGGGGGTTTAAAGCTGGGAAAATCATCGAACTATTGCTGGATTTTCCAGCCAACTGATTGCCAGAGGGGATTAGTATTTGGAAGGTAAAGAGTACGGACTCAGTAAAATGGATTCAATGAAATCTATCCAAATCTAGGTAAGACCGACGTATGACTTTGCTGCATACACCAGGATTTCTTGCAGCAGTTCTCAAACTGCCCAGTCTACGGGTTGCGAATCCTGGAGCCATGGGGTACGCCAAGAAAGGCCGAAAAATTCTTTCAGGTGGTGCCTCAAAGGGAGGATACCCTTAGCTTGATAAATGATTACCCTCTGGTTATTTAACAGTTTGCCATGGAAAGATCCACCCATTTTTAAGTTCGGTAAACTCAGGTAAACCATCTATTTCGATTAGGGCCATCTATACCATCCTTCAAAAAGATGTAGAGATTCTCAGCCACGATTGATAGCGGCTATTCAGAAAGTAGGGACTCAAAGTCCATTTTTTTGATCCAGGAAATCTATGGAAATCTAATATCTAAATTTATCTAAATGTCATTTTCTGAAAATGAGTAACGTAGATTTTTTTGATCCGCCACCCCAGCTCTGCTTTGTCGAGCCTCATAAACCCGTCGGATCAGACCCGATGCTCACCATTAGTGGTTGATATTTCTATTATTGATTGTACCATCAATCATGTTTTTTTTGCCGTCGATAATAGGAATATCATTTGAAATCCACCAATCATTGGATACCATCAAACATTTGATGGTTACCCTCTGGTAATTTAACATAGCTATGGAAAATCACCATTTTCAATGGGAAAATCCACTATAAATGGCAATTTTCAATAGCTATGTTAGTTTACCAGAGGGTATACCATATTATACCAATGATTTTTCCTCGAAATTTCCCAATGAATGTCAACACCACTGCCAAAGGGTGAGCAGTTCCCGGCTTCCGAAAACAACCACCTGAGCCCGGGAACTGATTTCGAAGTAGGCTTTCTTTTCCTGGGGCTTGGGACCAAGATCTTCCTAAACACATACATCTGGATAAGTTCGAATCATTCAGGCCTGCTATTTATGGCTATTTTGTGCTATTTTATGCTATTTTGGGATAGTTTCCCTTTACTAACCTTTATTCCAGTGAGGTCGCAGTGAGGTCAGTGAGGTCAATAAACTTAATCGAATACATAACAATATATTGAGCAGATTTCCCTCAAAAAAAAACAATCTATACAATATGCTTGTTTTTACTTTGTCTTCCCAACACAAAATAAATTTATTCCATTTATTTCCTCAACTAACATAGGCCCTGGCAAGTGGGGTCCAGAAGAGTGTACTTCTCCCTAAACATGGGCCATTCGCCGGATCGAGGTGTTAGTTTACGATGTTTACGGGAAAGTGATACAAGACTTGAGGCCAAGGGGTAAGGAGCGAAAGCTCGAAGGGCGGGTACAACCGGGAAGAGGAGGGGATGGAGCGGCAGGGTGAAAATGATGAGATAATGATGTCTCATCATGATCATGAATGCAGTGCTACTGCTACTGACCATGATATCTCAAGATACGTGACTCCAGCCCCGGACGAGCGAGGGTCAAACCAGGGGGGATGAGCCCATGCTCATACCCGTCAAATTTATAAAACTTTATGATTGGAGATTTCAGCCCCCAAATACCTTGCTGAAGCAACTTCGGGACTTGAAGCTAGCACTTCAGCGAGCTTTCATGAACAGCTTTCATCACCAGTGGATTGAATGGGACAATTATTCTCACCAGTGGATTCATGTTTTCCCTAAAATCTCAAACGCACCAAAGAAGCAGTGTTCAATACCCTCTGTCCGTCCTGTCATCCCTTGAAAAACTCGTTGGTTGATACTGTAGGCATTCACTCATGGGTCGGTTCAAAATCCCCAATCAACCAGGCAGTAACAGCCCAGAACTATATAATCAGACTCATCATCAATCAACATTTCTTCGCTGCTCGTTTATGGATCCTAAAATAGGTGCACCCCAGATTTTATCCAAGTCATGAACGATCAGTCAGTACTGAAACCCATGGTTATCATAGGGAAAAACCACCATGACTTAACCTTCAAATTTAGGTGGTGCAACATGGTGCAACCCGATGGAAATCGTCCAGGATTCAGGGTACTTCTCCACAAACTGAGTGAGGCAGGTGCCCTTCACTCCCTTGAAGGTCTTCAGCTTTCGGTCCTGCGCCCAGCTGCTGGACCTCGCAAACCGCTTTTTTCTCCGATTTCATTGGAAAATGATGGGACAAATGATGGAGCTAGAAGTGTCAAACATGCACACACCTATGTCTTTAAAATTTTAAAATGGGGAGATACTGTAACTGATAGGGCTAGCAATTAGGAGATTTAGGATGGACATGCGTGTCATACATGGTAGTGAATTGATATATCTAGCTCAACTACTTCATTGACTCCGTGTGGTGGTTGAACAGAATCAATCCCAGGGATAGAACAAACAATCATGGGTGTTTTGATAAAGTTTATCCTGCTCATGGATTTTGAAAACCCAGTGATTGTGCTCATCAAACCGTATATCCCATGTTACTATTAAAAGTAAGGTGCAATCCCTATCAGCCATCTTTTTGGAGCTGTTTCAGTGAGGATGCCTTTTTTTCCCCCTCAACCATTGGGTCACCAATCTTCGACTTCCAGTCCTGGAAGTCGATAATGTGGGTGCACATTTTGTCCAGGAAAGGGCTGAAGTGACTCGTGCAGATGATGGAACCAGGGAAGGACTCCAGCCAATCCTCCAACCTCGGTGACCAGTTCCGTCACCGCAATTTGCGGGGGCAGATTTTTCCAGGCTTTGAGGGTTAAAAGTGGCCATATCTGTGGGTTCCATGTCTGTCTATAGGCTATGCACGTACGCAATCCTCAGAGTGGTTGCCATCGCCTTCCGACCGTGGGGGAGATCTGCATTGCCCGTGAATAGCGACGACAAAATGGCTCTAAATGGAAGCCAACAACAACCAACTAATGGTGACCGCACAAAGGTAATAGCGCAACATTTGTGAAAACATGCCTGACCAAATGATTACAGTAACGCAAAGCGTGCACAAAAATTGGGTGCACTATACTGGGTCCACACGAACAATCTCAACCCCAGCGGCCCCAGCATTTAAAGCTGCAGTCCCTTCTCGCTACATTCAACAAAGATTCAAGAGCCAGCCAAGATGACTCCAACTGTGTCTCTCTCAAAATTGGGACATCCCATGATCAGCCAGCTTCCCCAAAAATCAATCAAACATGAGCAATAGAAAAAATCCGATTGGATGAGAGCTTTGGTTCTGCACATTGCAAAAGACACCAAAAATATGTTCAAACGGATCAAACCAAGTAGCCATTTGATGTTGTCCACATCCAAGTGTCCAGTGGGCTCCTGAGAACAGTTCCACAGTTCCACTGTGATGCATATTCGGAAGCCAAAGAAAATCATGGAAGCTTAATGGATGTTGGTGTTCCCCACTTTCATACACACCCATTGGCCCATGGGTCGATTCATTGGCTCTCCTCCCGCGTTGTGGCGAGTCTAACATCTATCAGTGCTGAGCTTACGGATCCAGATCAGTCTGTGAATCTCCACGAATCGAATTCGCGATAGCATGCAAAGAAACAACTTGTATCGTGCAAAATACCCCTATCCCATCTCATTATACTAAATAGATCTAAATAGATCTAAATAGATCTAAATAGATCTAAATAGTAGGTTGACAGGTGATCATAATCCCCAAGAACTGCGGGAGTTATTTGTATGTATAAGTCCCATTAAACGACCAATCAAGCTATACTCCCCATCATGGCTCGCAACTCACCATGCGCCCGCTGACTTGCGCTGGGCTTGGCCAAGCTTCGTCCAACATCAAGACATCCGCGTTCATCAGCTGTGCGGCACAGAGCTGCATCTTCATCTTCCATCCGCCTGAGGAGTCTCATCCCATGAAAACTGGGCCCTGGGTTCATGGCCGAAAATCAATGGAAAACTGGTTGGTGGTTGACCTACCCCTCTGAAAAATGATGGAGTTCGTCAATGGAAAGGATTATCCCATATATTAGGAAAAATAAAAATTGTTTGAAACCACCAACCAGAAAATCAATATGCCCTAATATGAATCCATAGCAAGTCCGATTCACCCAAAAGAAGCCTGTCAGCCATGACATTGAGCAGTTCTATCAATTTAAAATTCAATTTCTGCATGGTTTTGATGCTCATCTCGTGTCGGGCCTGAGTAGGAGGTCACGGGCAGTTCCAGATTCGCAGCACGGTCAGGACCACCCGGGTATCCGAAGCCGATCGACTTCATCAATTCCTGCGATTCGTGGTGCCAAGTGGTGCCACGGTCAAACCATATAATATGGTGAACATCTAATTGGTGATAAAAAAAGGCTGATTACTAATGCCAATATCATCTAATTGGTGGTTTCAACATGTTTCAACCCCCCTGAAAAATATGAGTTCGTCAGATTGGATCATCATCCCAACTATTGGGGAAAATAAAAAAATGTTCCAAACCACCAACCAGTCATAGTTCATCACATCATTTGTTGTGATATATTGCTATGATGACGACGATGATGACGACGGTGATTGAAATGCTGGCAATGTATAGCATCGTCTATATACAGTACCACCATCTCTGGAACTGGAACCCTCATTTTGCAGCGTCCATCACTGGAATCATCACTGGAATCATCACTGGGGACCAAAAGATATGAATCAGCTGTGCCTTTTGAATATGTTTTTGTGACTCATGGGCTGTTTAATTACATGGCTTCTCGCACATGTCCTTCAAGACTATAAGTCAATTTCTAGCTGATTAGTCTGGGTATTCCCTTCAAAATGTCCCAGCAGTATACAATACTCGTGATATTACAATTAATATCCAATAATAGATACAATACTAATAGCAATCAATAGTCTCGAAATAAAAAAAAATAAACACACATATAAAGGTGGATCCACCCTTTACCCAGCCCCAAAACGCCGTCCTTCACAGTGTCTTCCTTCACTGGGGGTTCCAACTTGTAGATGTCGTTGCAGGTGTGGACTACCCACCTCTAAACCGGCTAAGAACATCATCGAAGACATCACGTGTTACCTGGTCCTTTTAGTGTAGATGTTTCACCAGAAATGGCTGGAAGTTGAAAAGATGATCGGAGGAAATGGCGAATCAACCGCAGAAGATTCAAAATCCATCCCCACCAAATGCAGAGGAGTTGGACTTTTATGGAGGATCAGCCAAGAGACATTGATTGGGGAAAAAACTGAAACAAGTTCAATGATGTTCAATGCAACATAGATTTATCTAAAAAATGAGCAAAAAGGGCAATGATTAGCTTTTGATACATGTCTGAAAAAGGGGTGAATCAACCAACAGAGTTAAGATGGTGCCAGCACCAGAGTCAGAGGAACCTATGCCTCGTTGTGGCTATGATTCACCAATGGCCATTCCGTCATTTTGGGCTACGTGGAAGTATGAGCCATCAATGTTGTTCGTAATGAAAGTAAATGGACATTTCTGTCTAGCAAGAATATATGTATATAAAGTTCAAAAAATACTACAGACACACATATCTGATGCTACATCTATGTATATCTAATTATGTACACAAATATGGTCAACATATGGTCAACCTTAGATACCATCCTTCCCCTTAAGCCATTCGCCATGACACCACCAACCAGGCTTGTCCACTGAGAGGATGGGGAAGCCATCGTCTTGGACGCCCACCTGCGTGATGGATTAAATTTAAGCCCCAGAAGGGACCACAGACCACAGATTGAATGTACTAACCATATAATTATTAATATTATTAACCAGTGATTAGTATTATTGTGATTAGTATCAAAAAATACCAGTGAAATAAAAACATTACTAACCAGTGATTCATAGTATCATTAACATGGTACTAAGCCATGGTAATTATTGGGGCAAATTTGACTAAAATACCCATCTCAGAATGGCGTTCTGACTGGTTTTTTAGCACCATCCATGGCCTCTGCAAAGATTCTACTTGGGTTCACCGCATCCCATGGTACACCTCTAACCAGCTGGCACCGGATGGCACCGGATGGCACGGGTTAAAAAAAAGAATGCAGGGCCATCACTGAATCAGGTTCGAACTAAGGTGGCTTTGCGGCAACTAAATCATCCATTTAGCGGTATCCAGGTATTATATTCCAATATGTGGATATTCCACCTATTGGAAATATATGTAAGTACCCATCTAATAACTAATATCCAACCATGCTGGCTTCCCCATCTCCAACCATGTCGCGCTTTGATGACTTTCCCAGCCTGGCATGCCTTACCCTGGACCGTGGATCAACATGGATAATTATCCATAATAATTCATTGACCCAATATATACATTATATATATAATATAATATTATATATAAAATGTATATATATACATATACCCCATATACATATAATAATTGGATAACTATACCATACATGGATATATTCATCATTATACTATATACATGGATAATTATCCATAATATATGTATTGGTATCATTTGTTCCTTTTCGGATGAGTTGGATTCCCATCATTTACGTTGTTTACGGCAGCCAGTGGGGTCGCTGCCTGAAATTCATCCAGAACTAGTATACATCTTCCGTGTTTTTCCCATTACATTCCATTAACTCCTATTCTATCTATATCCCATGACATCCCAATATATTTAATGAATTAGATTATAATTATATGGGTATATAACATCCCATATATAGAATAACATCCATCATGACATCGCAATATAACGCCTTATACCCCCGTTAATCATATTCCCCATGTCGATCCAACCACCACCTCCTCATCCTCGATCTCATGCTCCACAAAGACGCTCTTCAGCTCCTTAGAGAACGAATTGGAGGGTTATAGCTGGAAAAATCCACGATTTTTATATGGATCTTTGAATGGGAAGACCCACTATAAATGGAGGTGTTTTACAAACAATGAAGGTCGCTGGCAGAATTCCCGAAGTCGGAAGGAAGCCCTCCAGTCCCAGCGGCATCACGCTTTGGGAAGCCCTCCAGCTGCTCATTGGCAATGGCGCGCATGAGCCTCAGGAGCCCAAAGGATTTTTTGAGAAAATCCAGTTCCTCGAAAAAAAGGGGTGTGGTGGGTCCCCAAAATCCAGTTCTTCTTCGAAACAAAGGGATGTTTCGTGGGTCCCCAAGTCAAGGAGACTTCTTTTTTTCGGAAGATTTCAGAGTTCAATCCCACCATGGAGGATCTTCGGCAGCCTAGAAAACATCAGCACAGCCGCTCCTGATGAACCAAAAATCATGGAAAACACCAGATTTTCATATCACTTTGGATGGCAAAACCATGAGTTTCTTGTCACTTTTCCCCATGAAACCAAAACATAAATACTCCAATTGAAATTCCGGTGCCCGCTATACCAATTGAAATGGCAGTTTGTCCAACGACGTATTAAAAAAAACAAAAAGTATCCTGGGAAAACAAACATGTTGTAATCTTACCATGTCTATGTAGTAACATACATTGACCTCAATATCTAGATGAACACTACTGGCGACTGGTGATTTAGTGATATGTGCCGAACTATACCTGAATATGTTGTGTGCCTTTTTCTAACACTCTACAACAAATGTGGATACATGTTTTCTTTTAAAAAGCAATTCCTTTTTGATTTACTTGCGGAACAAACATCGAGATGAAGGAGAACACGGTTGTTCATATCCAACCATCCGGCTTTTGAATGGAAGCAAGTAGACCAAACGCGACCAACCACAAACAACTTGGGACAATCCAATCTGCATACATCATGGCATGGCATGAAGTATGCTGCAAACATCAAGTTCCGAAGGCTACCCTTGGTTGTGAGCCAACACTTTCGGACACCATTCAAAGCAAAATCTGAACATACGAGTATCACATAATACAGTATAATACAGTAGTACCTTCTACAACCGGAGCCGTGTGTTGACACAGGTGCGGATGTGTTCAAATTGTGGCGCACAGAAAAGGCGCCATGTGGAAACTGCTGCTCTCAACGTCACAGCACAATCATCCTTTAGCGGATTTAAGATACCTATGTACTGCTCTGACAGAAAACATATGATAGTGGCACAAAAAAGTTGTTTTTTTGGGCAACATCAGAACCGAAGGATAACCATCCAAAACAGAACATCCTCTTCAGATCCAGTGGTCCAGGTCACGTGGTCTTGCCGCACTGGTTGGGTCCCAGCAAACCATAGAAGCCTCGGCTCTGAAACGATTCCGTTTTGAACATCACGTCGGGGCTTCTGCTTATCATTTAGTCAATGTGTCAATTCACAAATGCTGGGGTCTTCCCAAATGACATAGACACATGAATGATGGGCTTAAATGATTTTGAAACCTTTCCCCATAGAACATGTGAGTTGGTAATCCCAAGCTGCTATCGGCCATAGGTTAATCGGTTTATGGCTTGAAATTCCATTGACTCTTACGGCATCATGCCATGGCCAATCTGAGATATCCTGTAAAAAGTTCAACCTTCAGCTCCTTCCAGAAAAACAAATATGTATATAAAAAAAATGCAAATATAATATATATATATATATACAATGAATATGTATGTATGAATTCATGTGTGTCTGTCTGTGTATCTGTGTATCTGTGTATCTGTGTATCTGTGTAACTGTGTATCTGTGTATCTGTGTAACTGTGTATCTCTGTATCTGTGTATCTGTGTATGTATGTATGTATGCATGCATGTATGTATGTACGTACGTACGTATGTATGTATGTATGTATGTATGTATGTATGTATGTATGTATGTAATGTATGTATATACATCCCCAAGTTACAATTAGATATTGAGTTGCGTTGGCCATCACCAAGGTTTACCCATTTCTTTTTTTTTTAAATGCTGCCGCATTCATCTTATTGACCCTGACATTTCGATCAAGGCACGGTTCCTTTTCAAGTGCATCTTGGCATCTCGCAGCAGGGTCAAGGTACCATACGCCAGTGAGAAAGCACCCTGCGACTGAAAACCGATGGTGTTGTGTTTCTGAAGGACGATTTAGAGATATGTGGTGTCACTGTGGTGTATGTGTTTTTCTCGGAAATTTAAGGATGAGTTGATTTTGCCGGATTCTGACACTTTGCAGTGGGACAAAAAAAAAAAGTGTTTCTTTCTTCTGAAACTTTGGAGGAAATTCTCTATGTTGGATGGGTATTTCCGAGCTTGGGGAGGCCCACTATTCGTGAATGTAGCTCTGACTCAATGGGTAAGTCCTGATGTGATTATAAACCCAGCCATAAGGCCTGCTGATTTTTGGCATGAGTGTATATTCCAAGGTGTATTCTGTGGTTTACAGCCACGTTTTTCATGGTGCGATTTATGCGTGTATATATATATATAGATAGATATGATTAAATATGTATATGATTGCTGAATTACAATAATTCCCTAGACTGAAAACAGCTGTTATCATACTGCCATTTCGGGGTGATTCCCCTATACATTCACCGTCATTCCAGTGATGTCACAGTGAGGTCATTCTAACTCATACTATATATATTAATATACACATATGTGTATATTTGCATGTATCTACATATATATATATATGTATTTGTATATATATAATTATATATATATATATATTTATATTTGATTATATTTGGGGGATTGCCATGGGGCAGTTGGCCATGGGGCGCCGCCTTGTAGAGGTCAACGCCCTCAGTGTCTTCCTGCGGCGGATGGTCAAAAAGTCGTTGCGCTTGCGAGGGATGGTTTTGCAAGGGATGGATCGGGAGTTGACCACCGAAAATATGGTGCTTTAACAGGAACATATATGGGGAATGCATATGGTTAAAAAAAAATACACCATGTTCGGTGGTCAAATATGGTCAAATGTATTGTCAAATATATTATTTAAAGAGCATTTTCGGTTTTATGGTTTAACCCAACTAACATATAACTTATATTAACAGGTGGGGAATGGTTATATATATATATATTCTCCTACTAGCATATATGGGGAATGCTTAACCCAACTTGGCAGCGTTCAAGACCTTCTGTCATCCTTTTGTTCTAGCTGATTCAGCGGTATTCTCGGTTCAATCATGATTGTAGTCCCATTCCATGTACCAGGCAGTGAAAGCCCATATGCTCAACAAACAAGAGCTAAGCAGCCACTGTTCGCCTTTGCATTACCTATTGTTGATGCTTAAATATCCAGACTCTCAATTCTAAAATCATGACCATGTTATCCCCATATGTAATGGTCAAGCCAGCAAAACCCAACTCCCTTTCCAGGCGTTATGGGATATCATCAACTATAATCCCATATGTCATATGCTCAACCAACAGGGGTTTAGCAAACAAAGCTCAACTATCCACAACTACACAGTGGTGCCCCAAGCTAGGTCACTTATGGTTTTTAACTTGGCTAACACATGGGATTATCTTTACCTGTCTGGGTTTATCAACCAAGGAACATGATTGGGGGCACCACCTTGTGCCTTTCTGGGAGTGATCCCATCCTGATATGTTTGGTCAGATCGGGAGGATTCCCCGACCTCACCAACTGGGGCACCACAAAACGTATCCATCCGGCGTCCGGCTGCATGATATCCGCATGATATCGCCATTGAAATCCATTGATTCTATCCATGGTTGGTTTCTACATTCCATAAATTTATGTAGTTTGCATTCCCCCACTATATGCTCATATCCGCATCATTTTATCACCCTCAAGATCCATTCAAAGTTTCAGCCAGAAAAAAACTCTGTGTCATCCCGTAAAAAAAAAAACATCAAATCCCCAACAAAAACTCCCAAAACCAGCTACCCTTTGGTAAACTAACCTAACTATGGAAAATCAGCCTTTTGAATAGCTAAATCAACAAACAATCTATTCAAACTAAATGGCTATGGGCCATTTTCCATAGCAAACTCTTCGTTGACCAGCCAGGTAACCCTTCCATTGCTGAGTAAATTATCATATTTCACTCAACTTAGGTGATTTAGGGGATGATTCCCCCAATCCAATTCCCAGGATTCCCATGATCCCGGGGTTCGGTCACAATGAGGTCACTATGATTACACCAACTATTTCATAGGTCAATCAACTATTTCAATCTGTGTAAATCATCTATTTCATAGGTAAAATCAACCATTTCATAGGTAAACTCAACCATTTCAGAGGTAAACTCAACCATTTCATCGGTAAACTCAACCACTTTACTTTTCATCCATCAGCCTTTTCCCCAACCGGACCAATCCCAGCCCCCCCGGCACCTCCTCCACTTCCTCCTTGGGCTTCGCCGCAATCTCCATCTTGGCCCTCAGCTCCTCGGTGACTTGGTCGAAGGGCGCCAGGTAACCTGACGAGACGACGCTGCTTTCCCATCACCGAAGAATGGAGAAATGGAACCATTCCCTAGGGAAAATGGGGGAATCATGGAAGAGTTCCGGGAATTTCATCCTGAATTTTTGGACACTGAAAAAGAATGTGGTCATGTGACGTGATCCCCCGATGCCCCCATAGGGTATTTGTTTCCAAGATCTTCGGCAAACTGCAGACCTAAAGCCGAAGAAAACTGGAAATTATTGGTGACATCGCAGCCCAGGTTTTGTTGTTGTATCTAGCAACTTCTCTGACTTGTCATTCAGCATGCATGACCGCAGGTATACTGATCAAGTGGGAAACATGTTCGTAAGATGCACGATTAACAAAAAAACTAGTAAACAAAACTGGAAGCCATAAACCACTGACAATTGATGCCTGAAGTTATTTTTGCGTAAGCACTCCTTAGCATATCTTCGATAAACATCAAGAAACTGTTCAGCTATTGGTTTTGGAAGCAATCGTAGTCCAGGGAAAAATATCCAACATCCATAAATTATAAAGTTGTATGACTCACTTGTATATACAGAATCAAGCTACATCAGTGGCTTTGGATATCCTTCAAACAGAGAGTTGTTTTTGGGCAATGTTTCCTGCAAGAGAATGACCCATGGATCTACCCATTGCATTGTGAAAGTTATCTTGGGAGCCACATAGCTAGGCTTATATTCTTTTGCGATATGTCTATAGTTAAGCGGGTTTATAAGCCAGCAAACTCTTTTCGGGGGGGCACCACTTGCAGTTCCCAAGGCTGTTCATGTTTGTTTCGGAAGTCCTAACCAAAAAAACATGGTAGAGGAGAGATTTGTTTGGAAGCGTCACAAGCATTGATCGGGCCCCAAGAAAAAACAGTAAGAAGGGGAGGTTAACCAAACAAAACAATGCTTTATGATTAAAACACATGTACTTCAAAGTGAAATTTCTGATTCACATTCAATTCTTGGCAAGCCACCCAAAGGAATACTTGGGGCTAATTGCTCTATGCCTTTCTTCATCTCCTCTACTGCATGTAGATGAAAGAACCATGGATCTATCTATCTCACTACGGGAAACAAATGGTGAGGGACCACCGGTTTCTGAAATTGGCGATCCCTAAAACCATGGGTTTGAATCCTAAAACGGTCTAATTTGGATGATTTGGGGGTACCCCCCATTTTAGGAAACTTCCACATGACACTTGACGTACCCACTTGACGTGACCGGTGACCCACATCGCTCTTCCATGCGCTTTCCTGGCCGGGATTCCCAGTGGCTGATGATCTCCATTGAGAGCATAACCCCCCGCACAAAAAAAAGTAAACCATTGGATTCAATTATCATAGCCGTATGGTACAATTCATGCTATTATTTGCTATCGCTACGGTATATGATCGCTGTCATATTCACCGCTATAAGCATTCTCTAGTCTCGATACCCGCGAATAATGCTTTGTTCACTTATTTGCGTCCACTATTGATATTGCGAATTGGAGTGACCAAACGCTAGTCACTGTACCTAAACGGAGCGAGCTGATGTGCGCTATATAGATAGATCGATAGATAGATAGATAGATATAGATAGATAGATAGATAGAAAGATAGATAGATAGATAGATAGATAGAAAAATAGATAGATAGATAGATAGATAGATAGATAGATAGAGATATAGATATAGATAGATAGATAGATAGATAGATCGATAGAAAAATAGATAGATAGATAGATAGATAGATAGATAGATAGATAGATAGTTAGATAGATAGATAGATAGATATCAGATATCATCCATATTCACATTGAAGTCCACAACCGAAATTTTTGCTGACAAATCGAGCCTCGAAGACCCGCATGTTCGCCGCACAGGCCGCCAAGGCAGACACGTGGCTCAGCTCGGCATCATAGACGTCGCCAGAGCCCTAGCGGTTTTGGTTAATATGATGATGGTTAATAGTCATAATGTTGGGTTAATAAACCATCATCATATTAACTACCATTTATTATGGTTAAGAGATGTTAATGGCCATTATCCGAACATATTCACTAACATTATAATATATATTGGGATAAGCCATTTATTATGGTTAATAGCCTCTATATAAGCCATATCATAGTATATATATATATTATGTATATATGTGTGAATGAAATATAACTTGTTTTATTGGGCTTCTAATTAATATAAATATATATATATATATATATACAGATGTATAGAAAATAACAAGTTTCATGCGCGGGACATGAACGCATATATATATAATATATATTATATTGTATATCTTATACTATATATTATATTATATATATACTATATATTATACATGTGTATTTATGGCTTATATTATATTAATATGGATTATATGCGTATGGATTATATAATATTTGTTTTACAGAAAAAGGAACGCTTGATTCCGTTTGATATGTTTCATGTTGGTTTGTTTATAACTGCAATAATACCTGCTGGATTTATGAGGGATATATTACCATAATTGAAGATATGTACCTATTGATCTTCATTTTCCCATAAAAAATGCATTTTTTTTGGTTATACAGTATACCATAGTATACCCTATTTTCAGTCACATCAACACCAGAATCGTTGACAAGAATGGTTTGCCTGAAAATAACAGTATTAGTACACCCCATTTGGATGACTTCCAGCTCATTCTCACCGGTTCTGAGAATCAAACATGTGAAAGCATTTTGTGTATTTATTGTATGGTCATCCATGGGAGTCCACTTATTTAATGAGTATATAGTATATAATAGTAATACATAAATCATCACACATCCCATCATAAATCCCCGTGTATATGGATTGATGACCATCTCCCAACACATGGATTAACCTATAATCAAAAATGTTGATGGTGAATCAGGAAACCATCCCCTCATCTTTCCATACGAGCCATGAAAAGTGCGCAGGTTGGTGAAAAAGTATCCCGGAATCCCGATATCCGTTAATTGTGGGCTGTAATCATCCCCATGTAGTATACCCTCCGGTAAAACATGGCAATGACACATGTCCATGCATAAAGCTGATGTTCCCAACAAAACCTGCGTTTTTTTTAAGGGTATTTTCCGTTGCCAGGCGCCAGACCTTATCGGAAAACCCCGGGATTTTCCAATCAGCAGCCAGGCCCTGAAGCCCCCATTGAGTTCGATGATTTTCTGAGAGCGATACCAATCTAGATATAGCGGATGTCCCAGCTAGCCATGTAGCCGATGAAACTGGAGGGTAGTGTTGATATATGTCTAGCCATCAACATGAAAAGTGACAAATGATAGGCCATCAATATCCCCTATGGCTGCTGATATCCCATACTTAGCTTGTTGAGAAGCATATTCTCATGGTGAAGATCCAAAAAAAACATGTTACTTCCATGTACCTATATGTTCCCATGTAGTTGGATGTGTTTTCCATCATTTTCAACGCCATTTTCTGGAGTATATCTTTGCTCCCCATCTCCCCCTTGAAGCCCCAGCGCCTTCTTATCTCCAAGGGCCGCCTCCACCTGCTTCTTGGCCGATTCCATGGACACCTGCGCCAGGGATGGCACCATCGAAACGAAAAAAAAACTGTGCCTGGAGTCGTATGAATATGAGTTACCATGGTTTTTCAGTGGTTCAAACGGAATCTATTCTTGGGAAAAACAAAATCATGAAAGAAAGCAGAAAGGGCTTTCTTTCCGCGTATGAGTTAAACATGGAAACTATTTATCTGGTTGGATGTTGATTCACCTCCTGAAAAATAGATGACCCCAGTTCAATAGTTGAAGTTGAACATGAAAAAATGAAACCACCAATGAACTGTACTTCAAACAATGAACATATTTATATAGTATGAAACTATGTGGATGAACATGATTATGAAACTTTGAAGTAGAAACTTTAAAATATGAACCAGCTTTTACTGAACATTGCTTCTAACAAGAACTAGGCTTGAATCAATGGGGAAACCCGGTTTAGTTTGATGCTTGGTGAATAGTAGGTTGAACCAACAATGAACTGGTGTTTCGAAACAATATTGTGAATATGGAAGTCATCAGTTTGGATAATCCTAGGTACGCTCGTAGGATGCCAAATGTGAAACAATCATTGGACTCCACATCATCCTAGGATGGACATGTGAAACAATTATTTGACACCAGCAATTGGTTAAGGGACAATCTACACGAAGTCATGTTTGTTTCTTGAGCAAATAAGAATGTAAAGTTTCAATTGGTCCCACAGGGGATAGATCCTTGGAGGGCTTTACATCCAACATAGCTCTCTGGTTTCTACACGAATGGCCAGTGAATCGTCTCTGGCATACCCTGCAAGCCTCAGCCTTTTCGAATACCAGCCTAAAACCAACTGTTTTAGCATTGGATCTATGAATTTTGGTGGCCCATATGGGGGGTTTTAAATGGTTTTAAGATTCAGGGGATGGGATTATTCTTCCGTTGATCAACAGTCTGATCGACCTGATACAGGTCTGGAAAATGTGTTGCTGGTTTCAACATGTATCTCTTTGAACAAATGGCTAATCATAGCCGAATCATAGCTAATCTATTTGAGGTGAGTACATATTCCCATGAAAATGCAATAAGGTGCCACCAGTTTCTCACCAGTACATGAAGTTTGTTTTTTGGGATGATGCCCCATGTATCAACGAGATGGAATGCACATAGGGTACTCCCAAATTTGATGGTTTTGAAGCTAAGTTTCCCCACCTCAATAGTTATCTTGCGGCTATACCGATATCCGTAATTATACTGGTACACCCTGTTTTCAGGCACAGCCAAATCATTCTGTTGGTTATAGATCCCAGTATGACCTCTTTTAAAACCGATTTTGCTTAGATTCATTGTATAGGGCTCATTTCAAAAAAAGGTGGAACAAAACGCACCAACCAACCACATCAACCATGTCATTATGTGTGTACATATCTATAATCTGGTAGTCAAAACCACTAGGGACTCCTTACCATGGGGTAGATTGACCTCTATGAAACGTTGGAAATGGTCATCCAATTTCACGGAAAAATAATTGCTGTGACTTCAGCATGGCATATAAACTGGGACCCCGTGTGAATCAACCCTACTTGATTAAAACTTGGGGGTCGCCCACATGTGATTTTGCTACTAAAATATGCCACCCCAAGAGTGCAAACAGGTTGAACAAAATCCGAGCTTAACAAAACTTAACATCATTCATTATCATTCTCTGGTTGGTGGTTTCAACCCCTCTAAAAAATAGTAGTCAGTTGGGAGGATTATTCCCAATACATTATGGAACATAAAAAATGTTCCAAACCACCAACCAGTAGTGAATCATCCCAACTATTGGGGAAAATTAACAAACATGTTTGAGACCACCACCCAGTTCTGGATATTTTTCATAGCAAACCGGCATTCTCCGGCCACCCCGGAGGTGTACCTGTTGCAGGGACTGGGCCCCTTCACCTGCGGCCTTCTGCAAGGTCTTGTAGGCCTTCTCGGCCACACCTCGGGCCTGGTTTTTCTGGGCGAGCCATCAAGGGTTTCCCCTTGGGTCATGAGTATCATGGCACCCCAAGTCTTTCAAAAGTCATGGGGGACTATAGTCACCATTAATCACCATTAATCACTATTTAACCATTATTAACCATTATTAACCCCGTAACCAATGGTTTTGGGGAACCCCATCAAAAAGAGGTAGAACCCACACATTTTATCACATTTTGGTGCCCCATTTCCATTGATTTACTGTAGACTGGAGCAAGCCTGAACTTGGCGGTGCAGTTTTCCATAAAGATACGTGGGGATATGGCCACCATTACAGGGCTTGGATCGTAACATATCGCAAGTGCTTTGTGATGGAGATCACCATGAGAGTTATCACAATAACCTCAACTGCACCCCCAAACATTGGCAAAAAACATGCAACATGGGGAAGTTGGCAAAACATGTCCAAAACAAAACATGCAAAAACAAGTTAATTGGAGTTGTAACAAACCTGAACAACGGCAGAAACACCAGTGTTCAACATGTTGACATCACGTATCCCGATATATTCCCAGCTCCAACTCCGACCTCGGGGTCGGAAATCTTCTCAGTGGCATTCTTCACCTCGGGTTTTGCTGTGAAAGTGATTGGACAAAAAAGTGGTTTATCATTGTTTTCAGCATTAACATAATATTAGTCATATGCATATGTATCATATATATATACATATATTATCGTGTATATATATATATATATCTATTAATTAGATACATTTGAGTAAATTCATGATTTTTGGACCTATCTTGGCTTGGGGATGGGCAGTGTGAAACTTGCTGCTTAGCAGAAAATAGTGCAGAAACTAGTAATGGAAAGGGAGTGGAAGCACATACAACACAACAAGTTACTTAGATTCAAAGCACCGAGCTAAACCAGCAGCGAACCATCCCATGGTTTTGGACATGGGGCACAACCCGAAAACACGCCATGCATCCCCCCCGCTTTTGGATAAACCCAAATACATTTTGGTCAACCGACTTGTATCCACAACATATATATATAATTAAGTTATATTATATTATATTTATATATACATAATATATACTTCTTTTATCTTCTTTTGGTCAACTCCCGAATCAACTCCCAATAAATCACAGATTTCCATCATATCCCCTATCATTTCGTAATGAAATACCTACCAAGCCCACCAAAACGACCAGAAAAACCAAAGCTTTCCATGTCACCAAGGGCTCCAACTTGGGCATCAAGGGAAGCACCTGCTCCAAAGCGCCCACTGGTTGCACTGCTGGTTTCAACCTGAGAAATATGTACTATATAGATATTGTACTATGTATATATATATATATAGACAGAATATTATAGATCTATATAGTGATTCAGGATCCGTGTGCCTACATGGCCGGGAAGCAAAAGAATTGTCATCAAGCAAAGCATCAAGCTGGCGAAAACCAGCCACTATAACTCATGTTTCTTGCCTGGCCCCTTCCTCTTTTGTGTGCACATGAATAAGTAGAGTAATCTTACCCCTATGATCATTGCCCATCAACAATACAATCCCAGGTTTGTCATGCTTGGAAAATTGGAAAAGAATTTGAGTCGATACCTGGTCAGCAATTGGTCCCGACCCTGTTCTCAACCCAGCCTGGCACTGGAAAATTCCCTGTGTATATCTCCATTAAACAACATGTTCATCATTAAATGACAAATTGCCCATTGCCAGGTTTGATTGTGGGTTCAAGCGCCAGTGATGTCTGGACTTTTGCATTGCATCAAAGGGCTGCTTCCAACACATGCAAGCTGGAAAGGCTACGTAGAAACAGCGTGTTTCAGCCCTTCACTGGCAATTTAACACAGCTATGCCTTTCTTGGGGGAAAACAAATGGTATTCAAAAAACACTTTTTCAATATCACCAGTATTTCATGTTTTTTCAGAACCTGATTTTGAACACTTGTTGAATATCACCAGTATTTCATGATTCTAATTAATATATTCTAATATTTTCCAATCTGATTATTTCTTTGCTCCAAAAATCTGTTTATTGAAACATCAGCAGGATCGCTGACCTCAGCAGGATCCTCCACCAGTTTGCACATATTGTCCACAATCTGACCTCAACGGAGCGACAGAAGATACCCGGCCGACGGAAAAAAACGTTTACCAAAAACCATGGAAAGATCCAGCATGTTTAATGGGAAAATCCACTATTTAACGACTGGGCCATTTTCAATAGCTATGGTCAATGGAAAGATCCAGCATGCTATTTAGCTGGGTAAATCCACTACTTCGACTGGGCCATTTTCAATAGCAAACTGTGAATGTTTACCAGAGGGTATTCCAATGGTTGATGGTTCCCCATAGTTTTATGTTGTCGGATAAAACATGTCCAATGGTGTCAACATTGTACGAACTTAGATCCCAGATGATCCCAGTGTTTCTCCATGTCTGTGCTTTCGAACCATCCTGTCCGTGTGACTTGAGATCCAAATCTTTCCCACCTTTCAAGCCCGCCTCCCCTTTTCACGAGTTTCCAGCATGCATATCCTGATTTCCATGCCCATACACTGCTTACATCCCCGTCTTTCACCAGTTCTTGAGTTCTTGGATAACGCCCGTCTTTCCCATCCCCATCATCCATGTGATTTTAAGCCAATGTTCATTTTTCTGTAGATGTAGATACTGTTTTTCATGTCCCCACCTCTGTGTTTCACCACCTTTTAGAGAATAGTGTCATCCCCAGGAAAATGGCCGAGGGTCCCAACAGCCCAGATGCAGGGTGGGAGAAATGGCTGGAGGCAAAATGAGATACTTCCCCCGGCAGGAGGCTATCGTTTACCTATAATGGCGCCAGCGCATCCCTATTTTTGGGAAGAATTCTTGGTCAGCGAGAACGTCTATGGATTTATCCAGCTACTATAGCTATGATATGGTGGTTCATCCCCATCAACCTATAACCATTGGCTTCGGCTGAAGGACGACGGGACTCGACATGTTTAACTTAAAGATGCAGTTAAAAATAGTTCAAGATAGTGCCATACATAGATGTATACTGTATATATATATATATATATATATATTAGGTCATATATATGATATGAATGGTCTAGAATATGGATATATATATATATATATATGCGTGTACAATAAGTTGTTTGAACACTTTTACATATGTATATAAGTCAAATATGGTTGAATATGTATATGTATATATATATATACATATGATTTGTTAATCTATATGAATGTTTCTTTAAAATAGGTGGATCCCCATAGTCACCGTGGTCGTTTCGATTGGGATGATTTCAGCTGAGCCGCAGCAGGTGCGCTTCACCTCCTCGTTCTTGTCGTTCAAGCCGCGGGTTAAGACAGGCACCGTCACAGCCAGGGCTGGGGCCTCGACGTTCTGCACAAAGATGCACCCAGCCAGCCTGGGGAAAAATGGTGGGGGAAATCAGGGGAAACAACTTGGTCCAAATGGCTATCAATGGGAGTCTTCATTCAATTTACTGATTTATAACTGGTAAAGGGTTAGAACGGTGGGTGGGAAATGGATGACTTAGAGCCACATTCCTTGTGGCGAATCATGGTAAAAATGGTGGGGAAATGAGTGGAGAGATTGGGAAAACACTGGGAAAACGTTAAGAAAAGGTTGGGATCAGAATGTGGCAAGGTTGGGAACATCATGGCAAAGTGGTGAGAACATTCTGGGAACATGTTGGGAAAGATGTAAAGGGGAGCGGCAGTGGCTGTTGTGTGTGTAAAACAACTCTTGACCCACAAATGGCTGTTTGCTGATTCCCTGCTCAAATCAAAGTTAAGCATGTCTGGTTGGTGGTTCAATAACCATCTTGAAAAATATGAAAGTCAATGGGAAGGATTATCCCACATATTATGGAACATAAAAATGTTCCGAACCACCAACCAGATGTTGTAAGATATCATATCAACAGACATCTCTTGGCTCCAAATTCCATGCGCTGGGGCGCTTTTTGCATTTTTGGGGTTGTCAAAGAACATGGTGGAACTCCCCAAAGTCCCGTGGTTGAGTTTCTGTTATTTTTTAGCATCCCCCTATAACACAGATAGAACACATTTGAAAAGTATTGAACACTAATTTATCACTATTTTAGTAGAATTATATATATATGGGGGTTGTCCAAAATACCTTTTCCCGGACAGCCCTCAATCGCTCAGCCAATCGCGTAGCAACCGCGGTACCACAGTGAGCAATCGCGGAAGGGTTTGTTCTTCGTTGATCAGATCATATACATAAAATATAAGTTATGTATTATATAATGAGGATCCATGCGTGAACGCATTCGATTTCAAATTTGGGAACAAAATAAGCTCGCGCGGTCCGGAAACGGAAAACTCACAGTAGTACCAGCAGCAGTAGTACTAGTAGTACTAGTAGTACTAGTGGTACTAGTAGTACTAGTAGTACTAGTAGTACTAGTAGTACTAGTCGTAGTAGTAGTAGTAGTAGTAGTAGTAGTAGTAGTAGTAGGAGGGGTAAGAGTAGGAGCAGGGCAAGGGAAGAAAGGGAGAGGGAGGGAAAGAGAGAAAGAGAGAGAGAGAGGGAGGGAGGGGGAAACAGATGGTTGCGTTTGACCGGTTTCTGACGGGTTTCTGACTGGTTTCTGACTGGTTTCTGACTCGTTTCTGACCCTTCAGCGGAACTCGTGTCAATTGGATTTAAAAGCAAGAGCAGAAATTCCTAGGTGTACTAGTGGTAGTGGTGGTGCAGTAGCAGCGGGTGTGGTGGTAGTACTAAGAGTAGTAGCAAATCTAGTAGTGGGAGTAAGGATCCATGCGTGAACGCATTCGATTTCAAATTTGGAAGCAAAATAAGCTTGCGCGGTCCGGAAACGGTCCGGAAAACTCACAGTAGTACCAGCAGGACTAGCAGTAGCACTAGCACTAGCAGTAGTGGTAGTGGAAATTGCAATAGGAGTAGGCGTAGGAGTTCTGATGGGAGGGTGAGGGAATAGGCAAGGGAGAGAGAGAGAGAGATTGCGTTTGGCCGGTTTCTGACGGGTTTCTGACTGGTTTCTGACTGGTTTCTGACTCGTTTCTGACCCTTCACACGAGTGCAATTGGATTTAAAAGCAAGAGCAGAAATTCCTAGGTGTACTAGTGGTAGTGGTGGTAGTGGTGGTGCAGGGTGGTGCAGTAGCAGCGGGTGTGGTGGTAGTGCTGGGGGTAGTAGCAAATCTAGTAATGAGAGTAAGGATCCATGCGTGAACGCATTCGATTTCAAATTTGGGAGCAAAATAAGCTTGTGCGGTCCGGAAACGGTCCGGAAAACTCACAGTGCACTAGCAGTAGCAGTAGCACTAGCAGTAGTGGTAGTGGAAATTGGAATAGGAGTAGGCGTAGGAGTTCTGGTAGGAGGGTGAGGGAATAGGCAAGGGAGAGAGAGAGAGAGGTTGCGTTTGGAGTAGGAGTAGGAGTAGGAGTAGAAGTAGGAGTAGGAGTAGGAGTAGTAGTAGTAGTAGTAGTAGTAGCAGTAGTAGCAGTAGTAGTAGCAGTAGTAGTAGTAGCAGGAGTAGTAGTAGTAGTATTAGTAGCAATGATAAGAGCTGAGGTGGATGGATGGATGGATGGATGGATGGATGGGATGCTAGGCAAGTGCTGCCTTTTTGGTGTTTCTGACCTGTTTCTGACCTGTTTCTGACCTGTTTTCAATTGGAGCTAGCTTGAATGTCCTTCTGACCTGAAAACATCTGCGCGGATTCCGCGCGCGCGGATTCCGCGCGGCCATGTCAATTATTGGCATGGTTCTGGTCTCGAAAGTAGTAGTAGTAGTAGTAGTAGTAGTAGTAGTAGTAGTAGTCGTAGTCGTACTCGTACTAGTAGTAGTAGTAGTAGTAGTAGTAGTAGCGTAGTAGTCGTAGTAGTCGTAGTAGTCGTAGTAGTCGTAGTAGTAGTAGTAGTAGTAGTACTAGCAGTACTAGTAGTAAAAGTAGTAGTAGTAGTAGTAGTAGTAGTAGTAGTAGTAGTACTAGTACTAGTACTAGTAGTAGTAGTAGTAGTAGTAGTAGTAGTAGTAATAGGGTGGTAGCCGTATAACCAATCGCCAACCAATCGCTCAGCCTATCGCGATGCAGGTTTTAGCAATCGCGCAAAGCAAAGTAAACGCATCAATTCATAAATTTGTGACCTGCTTTTACGGACGGCTCCCATATATATATGGGTAAATTATAATATTTCACTAACCTGAATTAAGGCCATTTGGGGATGATTTTCCTTATTAACCATGATTCCAGTGAGGTCGCAGTGAGGTCGTTATAATTTACCCATATATATATATATATACTGTTCTTTCTTTTACGAGTAGTGGGTTGGTTGGGTGACGTCATGATGGGCTCGATCCCGTTTGCAAGTGGAGTTTCTTAGCCACCTCGATAAATCTACAGTATATAAGATTATATGAGCCATCTATGAGAGCAGATTTAATACGACTTGCAACTGGCATATTTACTAATGCATTTACTGTAACTTACCAGCCCCAGTTGGTAACTTACCAGGTTCCAGTTCCGTCCAGTTTGACTTCCACTTCCAGGTCGCTTCTCAACACAATTGTGCGTCTTGTCGATGGAGGAAGCCGCATCCACCACGGCGGGAAGGAACGGCTCCAGATCCTTATTGCCTCGCGAAGCGAGCTCCACAGCTCCAACATTACCAGGCTGTAGCGGTAGCGATACACAGCTCCCAAACATGGGGATATGTTTGCTATCTTGATACCCTCTGGTAAACAAACATAGCTATTGAACATGGTGATTTATAGTGGATTTACCCATTAAAAATGGTGATTTTCAATAGTTATGTTAGTTTACAGGAGGGTAGCTTTATATATTCTATGAAGTAAGCGACATTCCTTTAAAAGACACAACATTCATATGTCTGCCACTGACTGCCACAGCATCCCTCGGAGTGGGATTTTGTTGAGCGGAAACTCTGATCAAATTGAAGTTGGAGACCACGGTTTCCTGTAAAATCTTCTCGTAAATTTATCCATCAACTATGTGATGAATCACCATTGTTCATATCCGTCCATGCTTGTAGTATAGCAATATACAGCAACGTATAAATATACTTTCATCAACCCAAAAAGGATCATATTAGAACCGATCAACGATGGATTCATACTTATTATATACTTATTCAATGTACGCATTCCGTCAAGCTCTTGCAACATTCCCATTCTCCATGGTATGGATCAAAACCTTGGGACACCTGCCCTGAACAAACAAGATAGCTAAAATCGAAATTAGGATGTTCATATGGGTATGGATCAATACCTATTAATACCATTTTTAGTGGGATGAACATCCATTTACCAGCTATTTTGATGTTCACCAGGGGTACAAGGTTTTGACACACTGCCATATCAGCGTTCTGTCCTTCTGTCAGAAGGGCACTTGATGATTTCGGCCATGTGACACAGAGTTTGGAATATCTGCCATTTACCAATAGCTTTAGGATCTTTGCTAACTACACGATCGCGGGGTGAATTTATTTCGATCGTGATGTACGTTTGAGGATTTTGAGGATTCATTGAATTCAATATAACTACAATAATTATTGACCATACCTGGTTATGTTGGTTTATTACACATAAGATGGTTATTATATTGAGGATCTCATAATTATTTTTTGTATATGACTACAACAGATTATACCATACTATACCAACTAATGGGTTTTCTGCTTGGTTACGTGCAATTTCTGTTGGATCTATGCTGGATATATCACTCCAGCTGAGATGAACTCCCTAGTGCTTTCCACGGTCACCTCAAAAAAGGCCAATCTCTGGCTATGAAAGCATAAGTGAAATAATGGGAAGGTGAACATGTACCCTCTGGTAAACTAACATAGCTATGGAAAATGGCCCATAGAAAAAGATGGTTTACATATTAACAATGGTGATTTTCTATAGCTATGTTAAATTACCAGAGGGTAAGCAGAACATGTGGAGAATAACAATATGGATGTGGGTCAAAATGGAAGACCTAGGGGACCACAGATGTGAATGTCTAGTTTAGTATTAACCATCCAATTTAATTGGGCTACCTAATTTTGACCCATACCCATATATCATCATATATCCATGGCAATGATTCGAAAAATCCATGGGAGTCAAGATGATTCAAGACGATTTCAGCACCTTTTTTTCCAGAACGCCCCACCTGTGCAGTTGCAAATGGCTGTCATGCACTCCAAGGCCGCTTGCTTCACCTGAAATTATGAAACCGGGCGGGGTCGTCCATGTCTGGGTCCATTGAGACATGTTGGGCGTATATGTTGGGATAATCATGGGACATAATTTGCTAATTGATTATCCCATAATTATCATAATTATCATAATCATGGGATAATCATGGGATAATCATGGGATAACCATAATTAGTGAATCATTGGTAAAAAAAATCAATATGGGATAATAGTGACAATCCCTCATAGCGGATTGAAACAGGATTGAAACAGCAAATCTGTTTTCTGATAAAGTGCATGTAATTTTGATATTATTATACACTCCTATTATTTAACCAAAATGTATCTGGGCTTGTCCAAAAAATGGAGGCCAAATTTGCGAAATGGTGGCTCTCCGGGAAACGAGTTCTCAACCATGATATTTTGAGGTACTCAATTTTCCGACACTCTCTGGTTGGTGGTTGACCTACCCCTCTGAAAAATATGAGTTATTAGTCTGTTGGGATGATGACATTCCCAATATATGGAAAAAATGATTATTAGTCTGGTATGGACAAATATTAGTCTGTTGGGATGATTATTCCAAACCACCAACCAGCTCTCAATATGTAGTTGCTGCGATGTTTGACATGTCTCGACCAAAGTCTGAACATGATTTCTTGATCCAATTCTGAGGTTGGGACATGGAGAAGATTCAGAAAACACAACTTGACACAGCTGCTACTATAATAAGTATAGGTATATACATATACATACATATAAAAATATATCTGTATCTATATATATATGTATACATATACATAATACAGTATATACTGTAAGCCTCAAACCAGGAGTTAGCCTCTGTCCCATGGGATGTTCTGAGTTGCTTGGGACACCTCCAACCACTTGTAGTGTGTCCCCATCATCTCGATGCGTGAGACTGGTGTTCTCTGCATTTCTTGGTATACATTTGATGGCCATGTCCACTGGTCTATATTGCTTGTTGCCTTGTTGGTTTATCATCACATTCCCCATGTAAATTGCCCATTTTCAGATCAATTTCTTAAGCCATCCATAGAGACGTTGTGTGACTGTATGATATTGTGGTCATATCTTTTCAATTGATCAATGTTCTACCCGTGTTGTTTTTGATCAACTCTTCGGCGATAAAAAACAACCGTTTTGATGCAAATCATATTGTTGGTTGTATACTGGTTGGTGGTTTCAATCCCTCTGAAAAATATGAAAGTCAGTTGGGATGATTATTCGAAAATATATGGAAATACAAAAAAATGTTCCAAACCACCAACCAGTATATCCTGTCATATTCCCATTCTATTCCCGTTCTGGTCAGTTTGAAACCCCTATTCTTACGCGGCCCATGGGGAAACCATCCCGTCACGCAGCTCAACTGTCAGCATCATTGTAAAATCGCCGCCCCGGGGCGAGAAAGTCCCCAAACTGAAAAGCGAAAAACAACTCGGTGTTCAGTGGGAATATACCCACAAAATATGGCCTTATATGGTACAGTACCTCCATTTTAGGATCCTGGAATGACCTTTGATGTTACATGTTTTTTATAAATGATCTGTTTGTCTGCAGAGCCACGTGCCATGTCATCAGGGAAATTGTGACTTATATAAGTTCAATTTTTCCGGTGTTACATCTTTTCTTGTACTGAGCCTGCTACCACAAAGTCGTTTCCAGAAGGCCACGTCTTTTTTCTTGAGTATCATATCCAGGATGGTACAGTAACGCTCAAGAATTCGAACTATATATGTAACTGGTTGGTGGTTTGAACCCCTCTGAAAAATATGAGTTCGTCAGTTGGGATGATTCTTCCCAATATATGGAAAAATACAATATGTTCCAAACCACCAACCAGTTATCCCATTGTAAACCCAATATTCTTGGGTTCCCCGCCAGATCCCCACCAGATCCCCACCATATCATCCCATGATTAATGTCCCTGGTGTCCATGAAAACAACCCATCATTTGGCTCGGTGCCTCCTTCTTGATGTCACAGGTAAGGTCGGCCACAGGACTCACCAAATTCACCAGCCTGAGAGCCGAAGATTCAGATGATCCAAAAACCATGGGGGTCTCAAAAAATGGTGGATTTAACCATCAACAATTTCTTGATTTAACCAGATTTAACCATCAAAGATGTGGATTTCAGCAGAAGTACCTAGTCACATCTAGTCACTTAACATCACTTAATTGGTTTCACATCAACCAAGATTTCAATTGGTGCCATATCTTGCCATGACTGAATTCCGACACCTGGAATTCCGACGGCGAAAAAAAATCCACGGGGATCATCTTGGGGATCCGATGCTGTCCACAATCATAGATTTTTTTGGTAGATAACCGATATAAAAATCAAAATTTATACTTATCATTAATATTTTAATATCTTAATATAAACATATATTGTATGATATATATATAATATATTATGATATAATGTGTATATATATATCATGCATATATATATATCATATATATATATAATACATGATATATATATATATATTATTTGATATATTATATATTTACACACAATTATTCATGTGTATGTATATATATAATGTACAAACGACTACTATGTTATTATGGTACATCATTGTGCTGGTTTTGACTTTTGACGCTTGCTTGGCTTTTGCTCAAAGGCCCGATGTTGTGGAGTTGACCTTCGTGTTCGCATGTTCTTCTCCATCTTTTGTCCATGTTTTTTTCCTGGATAAAGGTGTTTAAACCATTCCACTTTTCAGAGTAAAGTACCATCAAGTCTCACATGTTGTTGATCTTTATCCCCATGTTCCTCAGATGGACCCTGAAATCATCCATGTTTGCTTCTACCATCCCGTTCTCCGGGTCCACAAAACAGGCAATGATGTCCTGAGTCCTTTGGAAAAAAGAAAAAACGGGGCTTGTGTACCATAGGGCCATATCATTCTTATTACTAGATATTCCTACTCTCTGTCTATATTCATCATAATGTACCTGTTGGTATTTAATGGGTTTGACCACTCTATTAATCAATGAATTGGTTTGACTAAGGGAAAATCTACAGGAAATCATGGGTTTTCCCCCGAAATAAAGGGCTTTGCTGCGGATTTCCCCGGCAATTCTGGGAACTCATTAATCAGATTAACCAGGGGAGAAATGACATCACTATCATCGATTCACCAACCTGAAAAGTGAAATTTTAAACTGAATGCATAATAGCCGTGATGGGTCAAGTCCTTCCAGAGGTGCGGCTGAGACGGCAGAACCTTGACCAGAGCCATGTTTTGTTTCCCCTTGCGGTGGGCACTGCTTTGTTTCCAAGGGCAATCAGCGACCACTTGACCTTGGCTACCTTGATACTTTCCAGTCTGGCTGGGTGGCATGCCACTGGATTCAGTGGCTACTGGTATGTTGGTTCTGATCATAACTCTCGCTGCAATGGCGTCACATTGCTGACTTCCAGCTTTGCGCTATGGGTCCTGTGCATCACAACCTTTGTAGCATATTGCCGGTCCAATGACCCTGCTTTTTGTGACGAGAAATCTGGAAGGTGCAATCTTGCATCGCTACCCTTGCTATGTTCCTTTAGAAACTTTGGTCATGGTGGTGCGCGTGCTTCAGTGATTGCCTGACCGGTCCGGATTCAGTCGTAGCAACTCAGCTTGAGTGGCATTGGACATGCAAGTTGTAAGGAAAATGGCGTGCTGCTAGCTAGACTTCAGCACTTTCAGCATAGGAGTTATTGCTAGCAGTTTGGCAGCTGGTTGGCACCACAGCCACATGAACGAAGCGGAAGAAGACATGGAGGAAAAGTCGTAACACACCCTATTTCTAGATCCATTGTTTCGACCTGACCTGCACGACTTGAGGCTCAGGCTTGGGTCGCACAGCTTTTGTGTTTTTCTCGCCCTGGCCTGCTAATTTGAAATTTGATTTGTCAAACGATTCTTGTCAGCTGTTGAGTCCCCTAAGTGGTATTCCTCTGGCAGCATCAGTCTGCCAACAAAATAATTGTCACCAGCTGCGCTTGTCTGGTGCCCAAGTTAATGCCCAGCAGCGGCCTGTGGACTATGCTCGGAAGGTGGGTGAGGGCCAACCAGAGCTTTCGCCCATCTTTGATGTGTGTACAAAACAGCCCGCTGTTTCACCTCAAGACTGGCCTCGCCGCACTGCTGCCGCCGTGCGCGAGTGCTCCAATCGTCCGCGCTAAACTGAATGCATAATATATATATATAATTAAATACGTAGTGCAAATAAATTATTATGTAAACTGTAAACCCAGAAAATCATTAGACCCCTTCCCCCTGGCTCCGCCAACGCCAAGGTGCAAGTAGCCCACGGCACGTGGCGCCTTGGCCGCCAACGCGGAAATGATCTGCAGCGTGGCCTCCTTCTGTGGTGGCTTGGCCTTCACGGCCAAGCCGTTGAGGAAGGCGGGCAACAGCATCTCCACCGCAAAGGGGGAGACCATGCCCTGCCAGGACACCCGGAGGTGCCCCATGTGTTATGGATCTGTTGCTTGATGTTTACACAGGCAACTAGTTCGATATATCCCGCTGAAACCATCCCTGTTCCTAGTGATGGTTCGCATTTCCGACAATTTACTTCGTTTTTTGCTGCGAATAGTAGCGTTATATGATTGTTAACAATTCTGGGCGAATTGTCACTATCTTTTTATACATATCTTCAATGAGTTCATTGTTGGTTTGTTTTCCATTTCATAAAGCATCGCGCTCAGACTGCTCAGATTCATAGGGTTTGAATACCCCACCCAAGGTAACGTTCCAAACGGATGGGTATATATAGCTATAGCCTATATACCCTCTGGCAATCCAAGGGCTGCAAATTCCTTGAGGCTTCTCAAAATGCAGCCTGGAGAATCCCCTGATAGATCATTGTCCCATTAAAACCAGCCCATCTATTGGGAAAACCTACCATGATTTACCTCGTTTGACACCCATAACTAGTGCCATCTCCAGGTCGCCCATGGCCACTATGGCCACCATGGCCGCCGCCCCCAACGGAGCGCCATGATGGTCTTGCTGGTGACCACCGCCGCATCCTTCACGTTCTTGGACTTATCATTCGAGGCCTGTGCGGCTGGATCTCTGGGATCTCTGGACCCAGATTTTCTCAGGATGTACAGATGATGGAAATCATTGGAAATAATGTACCAATGCGAAATGATTGGAAAATAATGATTATGGTACCAATAATGTATCAATATTTCCAATGATTTCCAATGATGTACCAATGAGTATGGTTAAATAATGTGAAATCATTGGAAATCCATGGTTAAATCCATGGTTAAATCCCATCTCAATCCCAATTTTCATCCCATTCAAGGTGGTGCCCCCGATTCCTCCATAAAGCCATGGTATGGGACACGGGAAGAGCCCTCCTCAATAGGTAAGTTGGTTTGAAATTAAGCCAACAAACCAGCAATCTAAATAGGATTTATGGATATTTATGGTTCATGGTTGATAATCTCTGTTTAGATTTTGCTCGGTAAACCAACAAACATAACTGGGAGACCTCTTCCTGTATCACTTGTTTGTTACATGGATCTGATCCCTCACATCTGACTTCAACACCCCGAACTGTCACTTTTGTGATCTCAATAAAAACAAGTAGCCTCCAATAAAATATAGGGAAATACACCGTTTATAGATCATGTCCATGTGAAAGCATGTTGTTACGAGGTTTCCATATCTGGTTTAATTTTCTGGCGGTAACCGCCGGTTGGGCCACCCATACAAAATGATCCCGCCTCCAAAATCTTTGGGAAGGCGGCCACCAGAAAGGGTTCGGCTGGACGACCCTTCTCCTGATGATGATCTGTTACTAAGAATGGGACATCATGGGAAAGTTTGATGATGTTTATTTTTTCTTTTAACATAATGTTTACTGATTGCTTCATGATGTTCAATGTTGTAATTCTGTTTTTAGATGCTGTTTAATGTCATTTAAGGCTCTTCGAGACTCACACGTGACCGTTTCCCTACCACTGACCATCAATACGCTGGATTTGATCCAATTATAGCCACTTCCCAAGGTTTGGTTCAAGAGCCCCACGCATCGCTCTTAACCATTTGCCTTAGCGGGTCTGCCACGGGACCTGCGGGCACCGCCATTTGGGTGGCTGCCTTTGCTGACGTGGACTACATCCCTGTGATTGCCATCACCATCGGGCTTTGGTGGCTGCATCGCGACTGGTGGAACTTTACTTTATGCTGGTTGTGCTCTTTGTGATCCTCTCTGTCTTGATCTACGGTGGGGACAATTACGCCGACGTGCAGGAGGCGTTGGAGACGACAAAGAGCATCGGCGAGAAGACAGTGGTTTTTGCATCGTTCTGGGCTGGTTGTGTTGCCTGCGGTGAAGCTGAAGCAGCTTCGTCAACGTCTTGCGGCACATCACTCAAAAGATCCACAACTGCTGCGTTCCATCAACAACGCCATGACAGCTGCTCCATGGTTCTGCCCGTGTGGGCGCAAAAACAGGAAGAATGCCTGGCACTGTGGGGACTGCAAAGCCTCGTGGACCTATGGGACCCCGGACTTTGGACAGCAAGCCCAGTCAGGACGTGCTCAATCGCCTCGGAGGCAACAAGGCAATCAGGCGTATTCGCAACAGTGGCAGTGGCCTCAAGAACCATGGGTGGATTCGACGACATATGGTCGAGCTCAAAGTCCTCGTCAGCGACAAGGACAAGGGCGAAAGAAGTCCCGCAAGGGAAAAAAGGCTGCTCAGCAGGCAATGGAGCAGATGGCCCAGCCTTTTCCTCAGCAGCCTCCTCTTCCGCCACCCCTCACACCGCCTCCGGGATCGGGTTCTACGCCTGCGCCAGTGGCTCCCAATCTTGCTCAACCCACGACGACCACTTCGTCTGGGCCGGCGGTGACACCGCCCCCCGAGGAGATTGTGAAGTATCGAGCCCTCGTGCAGAAGCTGCAGAAACATCAAGATCAAGGAGGCGAACTTCCAGACGATATTCAAACCGATCTGAAGGATGCCATTGCGAAAGTTGCCAAGCACGACAAGAAGACTATGCACCAAGCGGTGAACGCTATGGACAATGCTCGACAAGATTACGACAAGGCAGTCCAAGCTCGAGCTCAGCTGCACTCTCAGTGGAGATCTTTTCTTGCCGAGAGCCTCAAGCTTTGGCAAGGACACACAGCCAGCTTCCAAACACAGGAGGCCCAGCTGACCGAGAAGATTCAGCAAGCCAAGGAGGCATTTGTGGTGGCGCGGGACATCATGAATGCCAGCAAGATTGAGGCGGCGAACATGGTGCCGGTCGACGAGAAGGCTGGCACGGTTGTGGTCTCCGACGAGGAGGAGCTGAGAGATGTTCCTATGGCAGCTGCTCACCGCATTGCAACGGGTCTGACCAGTTTGGTCGAGACAATGTCTCAGTTGCAAACTCAAACAGAGGAATTGGTGCAAGAAGAACAACGTGCCAAAAGACAACGAGTCAATGCCGACAAGGGCGACTCAGGCATGACAGATGGAGATCAGTCTGCGCTGCCGTCTTTTGGTGGGCCCGGTGGTCAGTGACAAATGCGTACAACCACCCAGGGCAGTTGCAAACGGTCGATGTTGCGACCGATTTTGACTTTGCTGTTCAGAAATGGAACCACTCTATCATGAATGAGGGATGCTTCATGTCAGAATGGAAGGCCATTGAATCGGCTCATGCACTTGCTTTCAAGTTGCAATGCCCCATGCCGCATGTGAGAAAGGTGAAGACTCCATTGAAGAATAGCACGTCACATCGAACAAGACCGTTTCATGTTCGCTTTGATGATGCGGTGGAGGTTTTCAGTGGTCACGAGTTACACAGACTCGTTGTTCCCCATCGAGCGTTGTATGAATGGCCTGGTAAGCCATGGGCGCTTGTGGATGATTGCACGGAATTGACGCCTGAAGTTTTGAAACTTCAAGCCCGAAGGCCGCATGTTCCCGTTGCATGGCCTGTTTTGCCTTGGATCAAAGCTCCTGGTGATGCTAGTTGTGATCGCTTTGCCCCAATGGCCAAGTATAGTATCATGGACGGTTTTCAGCATTTTCACCAAATTCCCGCAGATCATGCTGACCCTCCACATGCACCTCATGCACATGGGCCTGGAAATCCTGCACGTGCACATGACTTTACTGACAGTATGATCTCTGGACCCCCTTTGGATGAGTCCTACAGCTTTGATGTCGGATGGGCTACGTGTACGTACATGGTACCTACATCATGAGACAAGGTTGCACAACGACCAGTATCGTGTTGTCCGTCTTCCTCCTGAACGAGCGAATTGGGTGGAGTATTTGATGGACGCCTGGAGTGACCTGTTGGATGACTCCGTGCCGACAGCCTTCACACTTCCAAATCCCATGCCAATGAGAGGTCCTGCAGATCAACTCATTGCCCTGGACGTGATTTTGGCGCAAGGTCTTCATCAACCCCGATTTTCTGGTCTTGTGACAGTACAGTACATGGATGACCATGATGGGCTTGGTGGGCACCCAATAGCAGCTTCATTTCCGCCTATGGTGAATCGATACCATATTCTGGAGGCGGCCCAAGTTCTGCAGACTTGTCAAGGACCCTATGGCCGAGTATGTCACATTTTTCATGGATGGCGTATGTTGCCAAGTGGAGGTGATGCCACCCATCGGATGCGGCCTGGGCATTCCTTTACAATTCAAATTCCAAATGATCCAAACTTGGAAAGTGTGGCTGCTCATGCTAGTGAAGTCTCGACCTCTGGCGTTTCAGCACATGGCATGCCAACCGGTCACAGTGAGGACTTCTTCGTGACAGGACCTGGTGATGGAGATCAGGATCCACCTGAAGATGACCCGCCTTCGGCATCTTCTCCATCTGCTGAGCCTGAACATTCTGCTGGACCGTTGTTCAACTGTCATTTTTATCGGCTTCGGCATCCACCGTTGCATATGTTCATGCGCAATGCTGCTGGTGTGCCCATGCTGATGGAGCTTGCAAGAAATCTGGAAATCGTCCCGGCCAGTCTCTTGCAAGCTCACACGATTTTGACCCAGATGGTGGGAGATCAACGTGATGACTTTTCTTTCATCATCCAATCGGTGACGGACATTCCAACGGCTTCCTCGGATGCACTTGTCATCATTGACGTGGAAGTGCATTTTCATTTGACACCAGCTGGCATTCACCCATTGCCCGCTGCTACCAGAAGAGTTCATCGTGTGCCTCGACATCTTGGACGTGAAGGTGTACTCCACTATGCAGGAGTGCGGCAATATTGCTCATGGCAAAATGATGCATGTTTGGTTGAGCTCAATGGTCGTGTCTGGCCTGCTCATCAGGCAGCACCTCAGGTCATGCAGCATGGTGCATATTTACGAGTCTGTGTTCCGCCGCCTGACTCCCAGATGAATACGTTGCAGGCGATTCATATCACTGAGCGTCAGGGAAGCACAGTTCAGCCTCTTACTTCTGGACCTTCAGTTGCTCCTTTTCCTGCTCCGCTACCATTTACCTCAACATCCACTACCACGGTGCCCGAAGACACCACGCTCAGAGTCTTCCCGGTGCCCATGGACAACCACTGGTTTGAGCCGCTTGATGACACCTTTGAGGCAGAAGCGATGCAGGAATTTCTGGAAGAAGGACCCATCCTCTATGTCTGGACGTGGTACGTGCATCATGAATTGCATCCAGAATGTAATGCACCACGGGTGGTCAAATTGGACAGCTTTAAGCACTTATGGGGACAAGATTTGCTTACGCATTGGCAGTCGACTCTTCATGGAACGGATCCCTTGCAAATCAAGATTGTTGGTCATCGACCTCCTCATGCGACCACTACATTGGACGCAGTGCATGTCATGATTGAACAGAAGCCACGTGAAGCGAAAGCTGCAGTTGTCTTGTCTGCGGTAATGCAAGGTGATCATGAAGATCGTCTTCTACAAGCTGCTGATTCTGTTCCTCGTTGGCTGTGTACTGAGGATATCATTGACATCCTGCGCATCAATCATGTATGTGAAACAAGGCGGTGTTCTGCCCGCTCTGGTGTGGCACATTTTGAGCGTTTTATTCGTCACGATGTCCCAGATGCAGCGAGTATTGAACTTCATGCCAGACCACCTCATTGTCATGGAGACCGTCAGGCTGCAAGTTCCTCGGAACCATTTGTTCCAAGACGTGTCATGCCAACCACAGCCAACTCTCTGCTCCAACTTCGACTTGTAAGACATGATGTCCGCTCTCGTCATGCTGAAGCACATGAGGATGCATGTTTGGTAGAACAAGTTACACTGATCGACACGAGTTCTTCTACCATGCCTTTGAGTTCCATGACAGAAAAGCCAGCAGCGCTCCATTATTCAGCTGTAGCACATCCTGGGGGTGATGGCCCTGTTGACAAAGTTGATGGAGATCATGAACGTGTCCAGCACGAAATGCAGCATATCGCGGCCATTCGCACCCGTGCTGTTCCGGTTCCTCCAGGGCAACCACAGATGATCCATGATTTGCACATGCTGCTATTTAGCAATGAGCAAGCGTTGCAGGAGCGCCCTCCTGAGGCTTTTGTCATCTCCACATGGTATGCCGATCACCTCCGACGACCTCATAGTGGAATATGTCGAGACGTGCGTCTTACTGGCAATGTTGGCACCTGGTATCATGAGATCGTCATGATTTGGGACGATTGGATGGATCCCTTTGCAGAGTTGACTGGAGTGATTATTCACCCTACTCCGCATGATGGACAGGCTGAAGTTCATGCACATCTTGTCTTGGTACAACATGTGCAGCCAACCATGTGCTCGATTGTTGTGGCCATTGTCGACACCTTGGATGATCCGTGGCATCCACGGCTGCTATGTTTGACCACGCCATGTGACCTTTCGCATGCACAGTTGAGAAATTACATTGACTTGGACGGCATTTGTGGCACAGTTCCACCCAGTGCACTCTGTCGAACGTTGTTGGGCGATCGTGATCTCACTGACCTACCACGATTTGATGTCACGCATGGCATGCATTTGATTTTTCACATCCAGCGTGAAGTACAGCTTCAGGCCACTACTGCTTTGGCAACAGCACATGTAGCGGCTCTTGACTCAGAAGATGACGAGCACATGAACCTGCTTCAACACACTGGAAAGTGATCAACCTTGAAGCGAATATTCCAGCACCTCGCTTTACCACTGTTGATTGCCAACGTGTTTTGTTCCTGCGTGAGCAACTACGATTGGGACTTGGATTGCGGCCTTCAGTTGATCTGAGTCAGGTCTGGTGGCATGAGGCCACATGGCAACAACTTGGTGCTGTGCCCCTTTGGCAAGATGAAAAAGTTCTCGGTGCAACCTTTTATACTGATGGATCTGCATGGCGCTCCAGTGGCCGTGCAGCTGCAGGTGTCTTTTTGATCGTCCATACCGAAGATGGCATGCGACATGGTGGCTTTATGAGTGCTCCTTGCCTTGGTTCTGCTACAGCACCAAGAGCGGAGGCTACTGCTCTTGTGTTAGCCGCATTGTGGATCCACCAGCTTGCAGCCTCACTTCCAGCAGTTCAACCCTGGTTCGAGATTGCGTTTGACTGTGTGCATACCGCCAATATTGCACAAGGATGTCAAGCTGCACATTGTAACTCTGATGTTCACATTGCGCTGCGATCTTTGATCCACTGACTTGAGGTTGTACTTCAGTGGCCAATCTATTGGACACACATCCAAAGTCATCAAAGTCATCCTTGGAATGAGGCTGCTGACACAGTTTGTCGACATGCGCTTCAGCACCATTCTTTTACCACCTCTCTTGTGGAGTGGTTTGACATGTACACGTTCCAGGGCAATGATACATGTGCTTGTCAATGGCTTTGGTTGATCGAGAAATCTGTGCGGCATCATGAAGATGCACCTACCCTAGTGGGAACGCACTGGAGATTCAATGTGGAGCAACCGTTTCAGCTGCCTCCGTCTGATGATTTTCATCCTGCGATGTTGCGTCGTTTCCAAGCTCTGCCAGACAGTCCTGAAAGTCACCCTGTTCGGTTGCGTTTTGCAACGGCCAATGTCATGAACATGTTTCCTGGACAAGATTTCGCTTCGGGTTATTTGGGCGCTCGTGCTGAAGCCTTAGCTGATCAGTTCATGAATGAACGTCTTCATGTCATTGGTCTTCAGGAGACTCGTGCTCGGATGACCGGGCACTCGTTCTTTCAACAGTTTCACGTTCTTTCTGGCCCAGCGACTGCACGTGGACAAGGTGGAGTTCAACTTTGGTTGCGCAAATCCATCCCCACATCTGATGGAACCATTGAGATCGATACGACTGATCTTCGTATCTTGCATGCCACCTCGCGCCGTCTGTTGGTCCGATGGGCACATCCTGGATGCAAACTTCTCTTCTTGGTGGTGCATGCACCTTCGGATGATGAAGAGGACGTCCTGCAGACGTTTTGGGACGCCACGACTGCAGCAATACCTGCTGCCTATCGTCAATGGCCAATGGTTCTGCTGACCGATGCCAACAGTCGGGTTGGCAGTGTGACATCCCCCTGCATTGGTCCACATCAAGCTGATGATGAGAACGGCAAAAGTGCTCAATTTCACACGTGGCTCGCCAACCATGATCTTTTTCTGCCTCAGACCTTTGCGGAGTGTCATGATGGACCGGCTCCCACTTGGACACATCCCAAAGGCACATCAGCTCGGTTGGACTACATTGCAGTTTCCAACAACTTTCCACATGATGGCGTGTCGACATGGGTCAGCACACACATTGATTTGGCTCTTCATCGCCGTGATCATGATTGTGTTTGTGCTGAGCTTCAGCTTGAGTTCTTCCCAGCTGACAGAAGACCTCGTCACACTCGTGGAAGCAAGGTGCAGGATGCCCCCCTGGAGGTCACATGGGCGACTGATGTTCACACGCATGCTGCACGATTGCAACATTGGATCAAGCAGTGGAACCCAAAACCCAGAATTTGGCGCAAGCGTCATCTTTCTGATGATACCAAGCAGTTGATTGATGCAAAGAGGCATCATTGGAAATGTCTCAATGCTGCACGCCGTCATCATTGTCGTGGTCTGCTTCGAGAGCTCTTTGCTGCATGGCGTCAACCCCATCAGGTGACCCGATCTTTTCAAGGATGGAGACGTGACTGTGACCGTGCGTACGCATGGCATCTTTGGGCATATGAAGATCTGGCACCAAGAGTCGTGCAGGCTGTTCGCACAGATGACTGCATGTTTTACGAAAGCTTGGCTGCGCAAGCAGGATATGAGTCCTCCAAGAATGCCCAGTCACTCTGGAAAACCTTGCAGCCTTTACTTCCCAGGTGGAGAAGTAAGAGAAAATCCAATCTCAGATGTACCGGCCCGTCCTTGGAAGACCAATTTGCACATTACGATGCATTGGAAGCTGGACATTGTGTGCCGTATGGCGAACTTCTTCAACAATGCCATGCCGCCCAACACCAGGCTTTGGATGATATTCCTCTGCAAATTTGTTTGGAAGCTTTGCCCTCACGTTTTGCCGTGGAAACATTGGGCTGCCGCATCAAGACAGGCAAGGCATCAGGCATGGACTTAGTTTCGCCAGTGGCATTGCAGCATGCTTGCCGCCAACATTCTGACATTCTCCACGCCTTCATGATGAAGGTGTGGATCTTGGGCGCAGAACCCATTCAGGGGAAGGGAGGAATCCTCCACCCGATTGCCAAGAAAGAGGTGAGTCAGAAAATCGATGGCATGAGAGGGATCATGTTGATCGACGGCATTGGTAAGTTGGTCCACTCGCACCTGCGTGGCCAATTCTTACCGGCCTTGGAGCATTTCCGGCTGCCGCTTCAGTTGGGTGGCTTTAGACGGAGTTCCACGTTGTTTGCCACCATGTATGTGCGTGCCTTCACCCAGCTTGCGGCGCATCATGTGGTTTCCTCCGCCATCATTTTCGTGGACATCCGAAGTGCCTTTCACTCCATGGTCCGGCAGTTGATATTTGGTGGCGCTGAAACCCTGCATCCCAAACTGAGACAAGTCTTGACCGACAATGGCATTGACTTGACTGTGCTAGGTACCAAATTGGCAAAGGCGCCTCCCATTGATTCAGCCCCGCTACTTCAGCCAGCCGCAAGACTCATTCGGGATGGGCATTGTTTTACTTGGTATGCGCTTGGTGCTTCTGATGCCGTTCATCAAACAGAACGTGGAAGTCGACCTGGCAGCCCCTTAGCAGATGTTGCTTTCAACAGCCTCATGGCAGTTGTCTTGCAAGACTTTCAGACCCAGTTAGATCAGTTCTTGCCGATCCAAGCTGCATTCTCACATTTGGGACTTCGGGCAGCTCCGGTTGCCTGGGTGGATGATCTTGCCGTACCGGTTGCTGCACTCAAGGCCAATGATCTGGTTTCGACCATCGCTTGGACTTTACAAACCACGATTGAAGTCTGCGCATCCTATGGCCTGACTCTCAATTTGAAGCCCCGTAAAACGGAAGTGGTGTTGGCCTTTCGTGGTCCTGATGCGCCTGCATGTCGTCGTGAATGTTTGGTCGCCAATTTTGCTCGCATTTCTGTTCCTCCTTTGGGACAACATGTTCGATGCGTGCCTGTGTATGAGCACCTTGGCACCTGTTTTCAAGCAGATGGAAGCATTGATGCTGAGATCAGAAATCGGGTGAGCCGTGCTGGCTTAGCTTATCGCCAGATTACCAAGTTGATCTTGCGCAACAGGTACATTGGTGTTAATGTGCGTCTTCGTCTTCTTGATGCACTTCTCATGCCTGTGCTTCTGCACGGTGCTGGGAATTGGCCACTGCTCACCGCCCAACAGGTCCAACGGCTTCATACAACGTATTTGAAATGGATCCGTACGGTCGTGGGCAATGGATTCTGGGCGCACAATCAATTGTCGGATGTTCATCTATTGATGAGTTGGCAGATGCCATCGATTGAACTACGTCTGGCAAAGCATCGTCTTCTTTTTGCATTCCATCTTTTCATTGATGCCCCGACTCAGATCATTGAAATGGTTACAGCCCCTGATGAGGCATCCTGTTCTTGGTGGAAGGCACTACGACAAGCGCTTACATGGCTCATTTCCATGGATGCCACACTCATTGCGTTTGATCCCATGACGGCCTCTCGATCCATATTGCTTCAATGGTTTGCTGATCGACGTGACGATGGTCCTCGTTTTGTTCGCCGACTCTACAAGAGAGCATTGCTGCAGAACAAGGTCATTGGCGATGCTGTGACGGCACACCAAACTTTGCATCATCAGCTGCTGAAGGGAGGAGTTACTTTTGCTCTGGATGATCCGGCATCGGTGGTAACCACCCCAATTATGAATGCCGCTGGTGTGCAAAGACCTTTCTTTCGGTCCGACAATGGCAAAATCACCTCTGGAGTGCACATGGTGAGCCTAGCGAGGAAAGGAAATTCATGACCTCCACAGTATGCCCGGCGTGTTGGACATGTTGTTGGACGGTGAATCGACTGCAAATCCATCTTCATCAGAGCCGACGACATCGGAATGGATGTTATGAAAGACTCACCTGGATGCACGAACCCTTGGAGGTTATTGCACCTATTGTTGAAACCAAACAGGATGACAGACACTTGCGAATGCCTGCCACCGTTATTCCTCACGTGCTCTCGCAGATGGAGACTCAATGTGAGACTCGATTGGATGCGGATGCCCGGTGGTTGCAGGCGTGCCGCAATGAAGGTTTGACTGACCCGATCGACCATGCTTGGGTACACAACTGCAAGATGGCCTTTGATGCAGTTCTTCGAGATCCATCCTTGCAGACATTTGTTGATCCTGATCCTATCCTTTGGCGCTTGACAAACTTGGCGGATGGTCATGGCCTTCCTCCAGCGGCCGAGGGTCTTGGCGCGTGGGCTCTTGCTGTTTGGATGCATGATGACCTTCGTTTTTCTCGATTTGCTCATCTCTCGGTGGAATTTTTTGGACGCTGTTTGGAAGCCATCAGTCAAATTGTTTTTCAGTCACCCGTTGGTAAGCTGGTGTGCTGGCGACGCCGCATGGATGGTGCCTTCTGCCCGCAGAACATTGTCGAGAAGGACGCGCAAGATCCGGCTACCGTGCGTGTGCGGGAGGTCATTTTGGACCCTATTCGCGATCAGCACTCCTTGCTTTGCTCTATCCTTCAACGTCCTCTACATGTACCTCTTTGCCGAGGAGTACCTGTATGTCGAGAAGGAGATCAGCGGATCATTTGGATTTTCCACCTTTTTAGTGGGCGCAGAAGGGTGGGTGATTGTCATTGGTGGCTTGAGCACATTGGGCATCATTTGTGGCCGGGAGTCACCATTCGTATGCTCTCCCTGGATACCGCTGTCCATCCGGAGCTGGGTAACCTGGCCAATGGAGAGAACTATGAATACGTTCGACGTTTTGCACAAGGTGGCCTTATTGCAGGTGTTCTTGCTGGCCCACCGTGTGAGACATGGTCGGCCGCGCAGCACATCCAGCTGGATGATGGAGCTGGGCCGAGGCCGCTGAGATCGGCTGCTCTTCCATGGAGCCTGCCTGAATGCACAGGGCAGGAATTAAAGCAGAGCTCTATGGGCACACAATTGTTGATGAATACCTGGACCATTGAAGTGGCGGTGGTCACCAATGGCGGTGGTGCTATTATGGAGCACCCTTGGGAACATCAACAACAGCCTGATTCACAAGATGAGCGTGCCTCCGTCTGGCGCACACAGGCTCATCAGCAATGGCTTATGGCCCTTCCGGATGCGGTCCGACACTATGTGGAGCAGTATGAGTACGGAGCGGCCGGAGTTAAGCCTACTTGCTTGCGGGCATTGAATTTGGGTGCTGCACCAGTGGTGGCTACGGCGCTACGTGAAGGAGCAGAGACGTGGCGCACTCGCCCTACGGCCGCGCTTGCTGGGCGCAATGAGCGTGGCCTCTTTCGGACAGCCGCTGCCAAGGAATACCCCAGCGCGCTGTGCCGTAGCATGGTAGTGGCACTCATTCGTGGGCTTAAAGCCCGTGCCCATTTTGAAGGGTGGCGTGAACCCGCTGCCTGCACTGCCAAGGACAAGACTTGGCTTGCTGATGCATGGAGTGCGTCGGCAAAGGTCACGCGATGGTCTTTCCTGCCAGACTATCAAGGGGCCTGATTTGAATTCAATCCAGCGAGACCGCACGAGGATCCCTCACGCCGGCAGAATGGAATAGCCACTTCCCATCCCTGGAAAAAAGGTTGGTTAAGGATGGTTAAATCATGTTAAATCCCATCTCAATACCACTTGAATCCCATTGAGTCCTGTTCAAGGTGATGCCCCCCAGTGGGGTCACGACCTTCGACTAAACAGGTTAAATCCTTCTTTGTCTTGGATGGATCCTCGTGTCTGGTGAAATCACCATTTTTTTGGTTGGTTAAATCCTCATCATATTTACCCCTATGTTTTGTCTGACCAATAATTACCGCCCCCAGACAAACCACTGGTAGGTATCGATTTATATTATATTATTTATATTATATTATTTATATTATATTATTTATATTATATTATTTATATTATATTATTGATATTATATTATTTACATTATATTATTTATATTATATTATTTATATTATATTATTTATGGTATATTATTTATATTATATTAAATATATATATATATATATTAATTATATACATTATTTATATTTTATTATATAAATTTAATTTATATTTTATATTACATATATTATTAATTATATATATATATATTATCTACATTATATATATATATTATTTAAATTAAATATTAGATATATATATATATATTAATTTATATATATATATTATTATATATTACAGGGTACGCCGGGCACGGCGCAGAACGAGGACCGGACCGAGACCGACCCGACCCGACGCGAAAACACAAAGCAATGGCATATTTACAACAAGTTCCTCAAAACAGTTGATTTTGAAGCTTTTTCAGCAGCACAAAACAAGAAAAGCAAAGAATTGCTCCAAAAGCGCGTTTTCGGGACTGTGGACGGAATTCCAAAGGCACCAGCCAATCAATACTAAATGTGCTTGTCAGATCCTGCCACAGCCACGAAAAGCAAAGAGTAGTTTTCGGGGCTGTGGACGGATCTGACAAGCACGTTTGTATTGATTGCCATGGCTGCGGACCCGACCCGAACAAGCGCACCCGACCCGGACCGGACCGGGCGAACCCTGATATATATATATATATATACATATATATATTAAATATCATATATATTATATAATATAGTATAATATTATATTATATTATATAAATTATATTATATTAGTTGTATGTATAAATTTGATGAGATCATCCCTCCCAATTTTCCCCTGCAAAAGATCAAACACTTGGCTGGTTACTAAATGTGTCAGAGTCAACACATGCCATGGGAATCCAAACAGAATGGATTACCATCCCCAAAGGACTGAGCTTTCGAAGTCTTGTGGATATGACATGACATTTGGGGGCCATTTGGGGGCCACCAAGACACCAAGATCTGGGGGCCACCAATACCATCTTTGATGCTCTTTGATGCTCTTTGATGCTGATGGATATGACTTTCCCAAAGTGGTGACAAAACCAAATTCACTCTTCAATCCTAATTTTTCTATATCACATCGCCCAAAATGGCTGCTATATCATGGTATATCCAGTGAAATCCCTAGCCCAAAAAGGCAAAAAAAAACAAACAGCGTTCCTCCGCAATCTTGGCCAAGCTCTCAAGAGCGGACTGCCCTGCAGCCTGAAGGGATTCGTTTGGGATATTCAGCTAAAATGACTCAATTAAATACACCGGGAATTTTGTGCATTTTGAGTTCTGTGGGAAGTTCTTTTTTTTCTCTGAAGGGATTCATCAATTGAAATTATATGTTTGTTCCAAAAGTGGGCAACATAATGATCAATCATGGACTTTTGGGGTGCACCGTTTTCAGATCCAATTATAATGGATAACCGAACAAATTATGTTGTATGGCTGGTCAAGCACACAAAAACCTTGGATGATGAAAGCGTGACATGAAAAAACATTCGATTTATCACAATGCAATGCTGCAGGTCAGATAAACATGATGAACTATTTATAGCAAGCACCAAGAAATCCAAAAAAAACACATCAAATAAGCCATACCCTCTGGTAATTTAACATAACTATGGAAAATCACAATTTTTAATGGGAAAACTCACTATAAATAGCAATTTTCAATAGTTATGTTAGTTTACCAGAGGGTACTATGAACATGCTATTTACCACACAAACTCGTCATCCCTCGCTGGGTTTTCCGTTCCAGCACTCCTCGCCTTGTCGGAGATCTTTGCCACCAATCCTTCGATCTCAGCCTGCCGAATCCATGCAACATGGGATTTATATGGCTATGTGTCTATATGTCTATATGCAATGTGTAAAATATAAATATAATATATATATATGATGTGTGTGTGGCTCTATCGTATATAAATATATATATATATATGTCAATTTATCTATGATTCACTATGAATATCTATCTATCCATCTATCTGTATATATATATATGTGTCTATTTGTTTATCTATCGCATTGATCAATCTGCCTGTCTACCCTATCTGCCAATCTATCTACCACTATTTCCACTACCTACCAACTTGGGTATATATATATACATATATATATACATTCAACGTATCAATCTACCAATCTATCTGTCAACTTTTCTATATTCGAATCGCTCTATATGTCCGTCGATCTAGCAATCCATCTACTGATTTGTTTGATCTACCAATCTATCAAGCTATCTATCTATCTATCTATCTATCTATATATATATACACCTGCCTACTACCTGCAATCATTATCTGTCTATCTATCTATCTATCAATCTATCAATCTATCTATCAATCTATCAATCTATCAATCTATCTATCCGTCCATCTATCTATCAATCTATCTACCAATCTGTCTATACATGTACCCATCCATCAATCCATCTATCTTTATAATATATTAATATATCAATAATATATCCCATTCATATCCTATTCCCATTCTATATTTTTGCATCCAATTAGCTATTATCAAACCATACTAAGCCCGTAGGGTTGATGGTTGGGAGTTTGGAGCCATCCCAAATAGGTCGCCTTGAGTTCGGCTGCCATGACTGGACAAAGAAACGGAGATGCAGAGCTAATCAGCTTGGGCAGGAAAAAGCTATGACGACGGCAGCTGTGTGGGATGGTAATTATATAGGATGTATAGATTTCTAGATCTGTGTATATATATATATATAGGATGTGTAATGATAATTTTGTATCTAGGATATGATATGTATATGTACGGAGATTCTATCAATATGTACTGTGGATGGTTGCGAAACCCTGCACCAGCTGGTGGATGGTTTATCCCCTTGTAATCCCACGACTTCCAGTGGTTCATAGCAACCACAAGTTACCATAAGTTACCAGCTGGTGCAGGATTTTGTCCACCTACAGTATCACTGTGAACAGAACTAGATATGATCTTTTGAAAGTAGGTTGATAGCTGCAGTAGTGGAAGCAAGGGTGTCAAAAGTAGGTGAGCAGAGCCATCTCACTAGCATTTGGTCAAGAGTTCACTTTCTTTTAACCTACAACCACTTTGCTTTTTGTGGGGACTCTACCAACATCAAGAGCAGCCAGCGCGCTGCGCCCACCTTTGACCAATTGAAAGCTGGGCTTCTTATATCTCTGCTGCACCTCGAGAACCACTGCAGGGCTTCCCAGTGAAGCTGAAAACACTGGGAACCACTGGATCTGGACTCAAGATCCATAGAAGATTCCAATGAATTGATTGAAGAAAATACAGGAAACCAAAAAAGGTTTTACAACTGGTAGGGGTTCAACCGTAGATTTCACCAAGGGATGGATCAGTTCATCCTGCTGTAGCCACAAACATCGATGTGAAAGGTAAAATGCACAGGAAACCATGTCCTTTCCCATTAAAAATGGTGGTTTCCTGGAGGCTTTGTTCTTCGACCAATTCTGGGATTGAGTGATTATACCCCACCAAACTGCCACAAGTTGGCTCAAAAAACGGCCATACCATCGCCTTAAGCTTCAATAGCATAAACCTGGAAAAGTCTCGCCAATTGTATTTATACACCAAATACTTGGAGAATCATTCATTGATTTGGCAACTGGTTATTAATATATAATATATAATCTGATTAGTAAGTCACCTAAATGGGTTGCTCCACGTATGGCCACATTTTCACGGACCCCATATTCCCACAAACTTCCCATACCACTCGAACAAGACATGATAAGATTGCTCAGTAGTATGGCATGAAATCTGATCCCGGCTTCAAATGACTCAAAACAACATCCACAAATCATAGAATAAACTCTAAATATGAATACATATTTATACATACATATTTTTTCACAATGAATATCCATATACAGATGTAATGTCAACCCCGGTTTGAGACTCTTTGGGGTGATACCATGTGTGTCCAAACTATCACCCTCTGGTAATTTGATATAGCTGTGTACAATGGCCTGCTGAAAAAGATTATTCAGCTATTGAACATGGATATCTTCCATAGCTATGTGACGGATGGTTTAGCAAAATGGCATGTTTATATAGATTATTCAGCTATTAAAAAATATGATTTTCCATAGCTAGAGGGTAGATCTTTACACACGACGAGTGCCTCTTGGCTCAAGGCTTGTAGACCTTCGTCTGCCTCGATTTCTTTCATCATCGCCTCCAAAGTCTCCTGCTTTAGACCCCCCAACAGCAAACACAGCTGTGTTTTAGAGGTAGATGTTCAATGTATATATATATATATATGCTGTAGTTCAAGATATATAATATATACTGTAATTCAATATATATATATATGCCGTAAGCTATAAACCAGTTATATATATATATGCTATATTAATTTCCAAATACACAAATTGTGCTCGATATCATGTACATATTCCGAATTCCCAGTTGAAAATATATCTGCGTATACCATTGCTATATATAATAATAAATAAATAATAATAATAATAATAATAATAATAATAATATATATATAATAATAATAATAATAATATATATATAATAATAATAATAAGAATAATAATAATAATATGTGTATGAACATATCACCCAATACTGCTACTCATCACGTCGAAAAACTAGAACAAAATATACCACCATCAATATAGCAGGAGAGAAAGCTGCATACAGACATACAATTACACACATAACTCGTCCGTTTTTGCACACACCTAGCAATTGTTGCTCATCCACAAATTTTAGAGAAAAAAACAACATGGACTGATTGCGAATACCATTTCCATTTTGTGATCTAGAATTGCTGTATGCTTTTACCCTCCATTGACCCCAGCAAACAGTTTCTATGCCAGCATCTCTCCCCACCCCGGCACTTCAGAAAGTGTTTTGATATACACTGTCAACCCAATAGTTGATCGCCATTTACGGATACACCTCATGTTTGGACAAACCATTCTTGTCGGTTAACTACCACTCCATCATCTTTGCTAATGCACGCCCCACTTTTTGTTACTTCACAACCTCATCATGTCCTGATTAAACCATGTTGGGCCCCCCGAAAAATCTTTGTGTGTTTACCCTCAAGAAATCAAACCTGGCCCTTGAAGAATCCTGAGCATCCACCAAAACCCATGACTTTCCCAGCTATAAACCCCCATTCCCAGCTATAAACCTCCATTTTCATAGGGTACCCTCTGGTAATTTAACATAGCTATGGAAAATCACCATTTTAAATGGGAAAATCCACTGTAAATGGCCATTTTCAATAGTTATGTTAAATTACCATAGGGCAACCACTATTCCGCAACCCCCCCCTTGGTCATTTTGGTTGCCTGATCAAGGCGCCGATCCTCGCTGCGAAGATTGGTGGCCTCAGGGACCCTTCATGGGCCATATGAATGGGATGTGTACGTGTACACATATATATATATATATATACGTATGGCTTAATGGTGCTGTGAGCATCAACGATAGTAGAGATTCAATTATATATAGTTAAGGATATATATATATAGGGATATGAATGGGATATCAACAACATTGTGATTTGGCTGTGTCTGAGACTTGGGTATACCCATCAAATGGCAATTTGTTTATAAGAGTTTTGGGGTATTGTATGTTCAGAGAAAGACTTAAATCGGATACATGGGACATATGGGATATTACAACACATGGATATACAGCCAAGGGTGAATGGGACATATATTACAATAAATGTCCTCAGGACATTTCAAACATTATTATAATGTATTGCACATGGGGCGTGAACTTGGCATGTAATAGGGATATAATAAGAAGGCAGGAATACAATAGTGATGCAATAACACTGACTTTAATGGGAACATAATGGAATATTAATCGGATATTGATGGGATATATGACTGACTATGTGGGACTGAAAATGGAGACTTACGCAACAAACGTAGGGATTTGGAATCATGAACCAATGGAATGTATGGAATATAAATGGAGCATTGATGGGATATATTCTGCTTGTATAATATGATATGGGTCTATCTGAAAATTGGGGAACAACCATCATCAGCGGATGGGGATATCATGGATATACCACCAATACGACATTGCAGGAAATCCCTGCATTTTTGTGGAACTTGAATAGTTTATTGTTTTAAACATTACCCTCTGGTAATTTAACATAACTATGGAACATCACCATTTTTAATGGGAAAATCCACTATAAATGGCCATTTTTAATAGCTATGTTAGTTTACCGGAGGGTAACATGCGATGGTTTGACCTTGAATATGGGACTTTAGCATTTACCCTGGGTCAACATCTATCAACAGGACCAGGACTTTACCAGACGAAGAACGCCCACAAAACGACTGATCTTGAGACACAAATCACATAGAGAAACAATGGGGACAAACAGGGGATTATATGATATATGATATATGATAACTATATATATATATAGGGATGCCTTCACACATTAACTTCACCAAAAAACAAGTTGCATGGAGATGAACCACAACAACAAAGCACGATGTACTTTTAAACAAAAAACATGGACCACTTGTGCTAGCTGAACACAGAGACTAACATACACATAAGCATCTAACATAATAATCATGTTATCCCTTTAGCTCGGTTTGACTTTTTGCAGAGGAGTTTGCTCCAGGTTGTCACCCATATAAAGTCAACCATACCTGGCGATCAAAAAACTGGATACGATCCGTTGTGTTTTATTTCTTAGTGTTTGTTGTGCCAACGCTGTGCCAGAGACAGGATTCTATACTTCCTCAGATGAATATTCCTTGGTTGATACTAGTTCCCGACTTCCAATGTCTTTCACGGAGGCACTATCTTATAATCGTGCCGCATATGATCTACCGGAAACAACTTTGCACATCACGCAGTTGATGATACTGTACCTCTGCTGGACTTAGCAAAACGCCGCCCATGCCGCATCTTTGTCCAAGTGCTAAGTCAGCCATCAAAAGGAACGGATAGCAAACAAGAGCCTCAGGCTTTCAGGAAACGTCTCAAGAAATGTTGTGAAACTGCCTCAAATTAAAACCACCATGTATAAAACTGGGCAATAAACACTTTCTACAAGTTGGTGATGTTCAATATATATATATAAATAGTCCGCATTTCTTTCCAGTTGATTTTCCATGGTCAGAATGTAGCAACAAACAACTCGTGGCCATCACAGGTCACCATGACCAGAGCTAACCCAGGACTCCTGGAGATGTTTGGACACGAAAGGTGCCATGGGCTCAGGGGGGTTGTAGAACATTATTTTGATATCTAAAATATGTATCTGATATTATTAAATATAATATTTGGTATATATGGTGTGTACATATAATATATTTATATATAGTATATATATATATATGTATAATTTGTAGTATGTATTATGTATATGGTATATATATATACATGGTATATATGTATTTTTGGTGTACATATATATATATATATGGTATATACATGGTGTATATATATATATTAAATAAATATATATATATATATATAATGCAGAACTGAATAGTCTGATCTCCAGAAATTTGGGAATTGCCAAGGTCCCTTTGATCTGAGATTCACGCGAGCAGAGCCCTAAAGGTCATCATTCTCCTGAGCACAGAATCCGCCCGGCTGGTCCATGGGATTGTGGTAAACCATACGCGAAA